GGAGAGACTGGAGGAGACATTTCTGATAAGAGGTTAAATTTTTAAAATCTTTACATTTGATATATCGCCTTATCACGTCGTTGAACGTCTCAAAGCGATTCACAGAATATACCGTAAAGTGGATTGACTATATATTTTATGGGCGAAACCTGGCAGCCAATTCCGCACAGCATTATCCCAGAAACAGTCATAGATTGAGTGACCAATTATTAAGTTTTTTTTTGAGGATTGTTCCACCCCGCCCTCCCCACCCCGGAAAGCGATCCGCCAATCGACTAACAACCAGGTTCCTACAAACTGCTAGGTAGAAGTGTGTGGAGTAAGGAAATTTGCCTAAGGTTTCGCCCCACCCGGCAATCAAACTCAGGTCCTCTTGTTTGCGAGGTGAGCACTCTATCCAATGTACTACAGGACTCCACAAATAGTCGACAGTTGAAAAATAATTATCCTTACATTTGGTGCAGCGCCTTTCAACTCAGGGCATCTCAAAGCACTTCACAGGATACACTGCAAAGTAGCTTGACTGTGTCATGGGCTCACAGCAATGTCCCACAACAACCATGCAGTGAATGACCAATTTTATTGGGGGCATTGTTGGTGAAGACACTGGGAGAGAGAAACTATCTTCCATGACCTATATATTTACACTAATGATGTTAGCAAAGTGTTACAGAATTCCCTCGGAGGCACTGTTCGCTGTGGAAGTGAGGGTACCACAACTCATTTGTTCGCAATTGGCTGCCAAGTTTCACTCACAAAATAGTCAATTCACTTTATAGTATATTCTGAGAAGCTCTTTCAGACATCTCAACAACATGATAAGGAGCTACATTAAATGCAAGGATTATTATTATTAGCCGTAGACATCAACTTATTGAATGGAAGAAATATCAAGAGAACTATTCCTGAACATAAACAGAACAAGATTCACCCCCCTCCACCTCTCTTCCTCCCCTTCCCCCTCTCTTCCTCCCCTTCCCCCTCTTCCTTCCCTTCTCCCCTCTTCCTTCCATTCCCCCCACCTACTCCCCAAAAATGTACCTTAAAGTGCTGTAAATTAAAAGCAGAGTAAAGTTTAATGGCAAGTTACCAATAAAGTCTCCTGCAGACTTCATGCCGCAAGCTCCCAATTCTAATTGGTCATTTTTTAAAAACCATTTACCATGCAAATTCTATTCCCATTGTGCCTGGGTCCCGTAATCTCCATGGAATAGCTCGACATTAACGCGACTTCAATTTGCTTTTACTGTATAATGCAAGTTTAATTAACTTTTGGGAGGATTTAAACATTAAGCAAGCAGACGGGACATGTTCCCCCGAGTTGCTTCATTTTGCATGCAAATCCCTTTTTCACGCCACCTTAAGAGTTCTCCCTTCAAGTTTGGGAAAAAAATGTGCGTGTCCTGTGAGCGGTTTTCTGCACATTTCTTGCCCTTACACATTGCTCTTTCACTCATCAAGGCTCCCTTTATCGCCATAACAATGACTAGCGACTTAAATCGCCCTCCAAATCCGCAGCTGTGGAACAATGTAATCTCCTCTTTCTTTCAATGAGCTGGCCGCTTGAAAGGACTTGGGAAAAGTATTCGCAAAGTCTCACACTGTTTGCTGAATAGAAGTTAGTGCAAGTATTATGCCAGAACAAGTGGCTTTATCAACACATGCTTGCAAACAACCTCAAAACACACACACGATCACTAAACCCAGCCGAGGGGATGTGATGCTATCTGCATTGGGGATTAAAGTTCCTTTCACCTCTCTCAGGATACTTTTTTTGCGCACAGTTCCAGAAAGTTGAGAAGTTTTTTTTAGTTTGTGCGTGGGGGGGGGGGGGAGGGGGGGGGGTTGCTAAAACTGCCTTGGAAAATAACTGGCAGGATTTACTGCAAAACATTATTATAAATAAATAAAAGACAACAAATATTGTAACTGCTTTGAACTTTATTTCAACAGGCAATTCAACTTGCTGGAGGTTGCAGTTAATACAAGGATAATAATAATCCTTGAATTTGATAGAACACCTTATCACATTTTGAGACGTCTCAAACTGCTCCACAGACTGTACTGTAAAGTGGATTGACTGTGTATTTTGTGGGCAAAACAATGATGCATTTAGAACAGTCTAATGCACCTCATCAGACACTGGTATCTAAACAGGCTGAAAGCAATGCATTCCGGAGCAGAACTGCTATAGGGCAAACAGCAGGGCAAGAAAGCTTGGTACTTAACCTGCTTCAGAATCAGTGGGGTCTAATCTGCGGGATGTCATAATGGATTTCCTTGTTAGCATCTCCGTCAACTCATGGGAACGCTACTCTGGAAGCAGATGGCAACAAAGCGAAGTCCTACTCCACATATGTCCAGTCACCTGACTCGCTGTGGAGCTTCATAGCGTAGGGGTTATCACGCTCGTCTCGCAAGCGAGAGGACTGGGGTTTGATTCCTGGGCAGGTGAAACCTTAACCAAGTTTCCTTGCTCCACACTCTTCTGTTTACCGAGCAGGAATTAGGAACCCAGTTGTTAAGTCGATTGGGGGAATGCTTTCCGGGGGTGATAATCCCTTCAAAATAAAAAAAAGTGGGACAATGCAATTAGCTGCTGCGTTTCGCCCACAAAATAAACAGTCAATCTGCTTTACAATATATTCTGTGAAGTGCCTTGTAACATCTCAACAACATGATAAGGCCCTATATAAAAGGAAAGTATTGGAGCCCCTGGAGCCCCTGGAGCTCTCGGAGCCCCAGGAGCTCTCGGAGCCCCTGGAGATCTCGGAGCCCCTGGAGGTCTTGGAGTCCCTAGGGCTCTTGGAGCCACTGGAGCTCTTTTAGGCCCTGGGGTTCTTGGAGCCCCGGGAGCTCTTGGAGCCCCAGGAGACTTTGGAGCCCCTGGTGCCCCTGGAGCCGTTGGAGCCACTGCAGCCCTTGGAGCCCCTGGAGCTCTTGGAGCCCCTGGAGCTCTTGGAGCCCCTGGAGCTCTTGGAGCCCCCTGGAGCTCTTGGAGCCCCCTGGAGCTCTTGGAGCCCCTGGAGCTCTTGGAGCCCCTGGAGCTCTTGGAGCCCCTGGAGCTCTTAAAGCCCCTGGAGCACTTGGAGACCCTGGAGCTCTAGGATCCCCTGGAGCTCTTGGAGCCCCTGGAGCTCTTGGAGACCCTGGAGCTCTTGGAGGCCCTGGAGCTCTTGGTGCCCCTGGACCGCTTGGAGCCCCTGGAGCTCTTGGAGCCTCTGGAGCTCTTGGAGCCCCCTGGAGCTCTTGGATCCCCTGGAGCTCTTGGAGCCCCTAGAGCACTTGGATGCCCTGGAGTACTTGGATGCCCTGGAGTACTTGGATGCCCTGGAGATCTTAGAGCCCCTGGAGCTCTTGGAGCCCCTGGTGCTCTTGAAGCGCCTGGAGCTCTTGGGAGCGCCTGGAGCTCTTGGAGACCCTCCAAGGGCTCCGGGGGCTCCAGTGGCTAAAGGGCTCCAGGGTCTTCAAGGGCTCCGGACGCTCCAAGAGCTCCAAGAGCAGCGGGGGCTCCAAGGGCTCCATGGCCGCCAAGAGCAGCGGGGGCTCCAAGAGCAGCGGGGGCTCCAAGAGCTCCGGGGTCTCCAAGCGCCCCGGGGTCTCCAAGCGCCCCGGGGTCTCCAAGCGCCCCGGGGTCTCCAAGAACTCCAGGGGCTCCGAGAGCTATTCTTATTATTATTGTTGGAAGGGGGCACAGACAGGCTCGAATAGTGCTGTACCATTCTACAACTTGCATTTATATACTGTTGTGTCCTTCATAGTGAAGTCGCAGAACGTTCTGTGCATTAATACACAGCGCTAATTTCATCTCATCCTTCCCAAATACCCACCTACATTCCATCATTCAGTCGCACACCGTCTGTGAGCTGAAGTAAGACAAGTCTTATTTCATCTGAAACAGGAAGTGCTGTCTGTGCTGCTCCAAGTCAACCTCAAGACTTTGTGGCAGCCCTTCCCACCTCCCAGGGAAGGTCACATCGATAAAAACTGCAGAAAGCATTGGTTTCAATTCAATTTCAAAACCTGCTCAAAGTCTTCCTTTTTTTATATAATGCCTTAACACCTCAAAATGTCACTTAGGTCACTCAATCCACGACTATTTGTGGGACACTGCTGTGCGCAATTGGCTGCCGCGTTTCGCCCACAAAATAGTCAATATACACACAATATATTCTGTGAAGTGCTTTGAGACGTCTCAACCACGTGATGAGCCCTTATATCTATCGCAAGGATTATTATTATAATTACTGTCAAAGACAGTGATTTGTTTCCTCATAAACAAACACAGCAGCAAGTTTTACCCAGAGCTAGGGGTCTCAAACTGCCAAAAGGTAAAGGAACTAATTTTATCTGGAAATTTGTTTTTGTTGTCAAGGACATCAGGAGCAATCTCCCTTCTCTTTTCAAAATAATCTTGGGATCTGAAGAACAGGCAAAGAATGTCTAATGGGATCTTGGTCTAAACATTTCATCTGAGATACACCTCTGATAACAAAACACTCCTCATCCCCCACCACCCAGTATTGCACAGTACAGGATGGCCACAAAGTCCTCTTACCCCCCTATAACAAAACAGTGATACGAGACCCTGGAAGAGCTGAAACAATCTGTCAAGAGATTGTATTTTGCCTCGTCACTCCATCCAGGTTACAGAAGATGTAGATCCGAACATGGTGACTGATCATTATCTGACATGAAAATGATGGAGCTTGCTCACACTGATTCTCTGGATGCCTAAGTACAGCTAACACTTGTACTAAATACAATTAAGTACTTCTAAATACAATTATCATCATTCTTTCACGTAACAGTTGTTGGTCAGTGCACTGCAGAAAAAAATAAAAGGGGGGTAACAGGGCTTTGAAGGCTACTCTAAGTCACATAGTCATGATATAGGGCTTGAACTCACATGCTTCTGACACAGAGGGTAAGTGCTAGCACCTGAGCATGTCAGGAATTGGAAGATAATCATCAAGACGAGATCTCAATTGAAAACCGTTTAATATTTTTTCATATACACAATATTGAATGAAAAAAATATTCTATTGTGGCAATACGTTCATAAATATTATTGCAGGCAAGGCTGCGTATGGGCGTTTTAAGAGTGCCTTTGGAGCTAACTGACTTCTTTTCCGTGAGATCTGAAAGAAGCTGCACACTGATAGGGCAGAAATAACTCGAGCATTCTCACTCCGGGGGAAAAAAATGTCCAATCGTACAGCCATTTTGCTGGAAGCAGAAAGTCCTCGGGGATGGAAGGCATCTGTCAACAAGACAAGAAAGGGACTGACCTCTCAGATTCAGAAGTGCAAAAGAGTTGGGACTTTGGCAACGAGTCTTGGCCTTTCCAAAGAGCAATCATGCGGACTGTGTGTACGAATCTCTGCTCCACATGGGTTCCGTAAGTAAAGCTGGTAGCAACTGGACATCTGTAACTCCGAACAGCACTGTAATCAGAATTCGAGGATACTGAAATACCCATCAACTCGAAGACAGGACGGGAATTTAAAAAGGAGTGTGATGTGGCATCCAGATAACAGCCCCCACCCCCCCCCCCACCCCCTCACACACACACACACAATACACTACAAATTTGACCGAAAGGATAATGCTTTAAAGAGAGATGGTGGTGGGAGCGGAGGGGGAAGTTTACAATAATTTGCTCAAGTATTATAGGACTATAAAAATATATATATATATGTAAAGAGAACAAACCCATCTCCCCAAACTTACCAATTCCCAGGTGAAATATTTTATTGTCACGCAATTCCCGCCCCCCACCCCCTTCCTGCCCAGGCATTCATGGCTAAGGATACAGTCCCAAACCCAGTGAGGGCTTCTGTGCACAGTATCGTGGGTCCAATTCTGTGGATATCACGTGCGTACACAATTCGATCACAGTACTTCAGTCAGCTCTCAGTAGGCACTCAACCAGCATTAAGTAGCTGTTGGCATTACTGATATCCAGTTACAGGATATCAGTAGCTGCAGGAGAGAAAAAGCATCCCCTCAACGTAAGGAGCTACGCACACGTCTTGCCCAATTGAGCAAACAAATAGCTTATAGCCTATTGTGAGGCAAGTACAGACTTGAAGCTCATAGACTGGACCCTCTCAATGTGTATTGACCAACAAAGCTCTCTGAAGAGAACTGTAATTTAAATGTACCGGATGCAACCCAGTTCGCTTCCTTTCTAAGCAAACGCAACTGCGCCACTCCCCTGCCAACTCCTCCTCCCCCCACACCCTCCAATGTATTTCACAGAAACAAAGCTGAACTTTCAAAGATAGGCGGCATTAGATACTGCAAAACGTTAACACTTTCTCCATATTCACTTAATCCAAACACTGAAGAAGAAAAAGGTAAAAGAAAACACTCGGGAACGCGCCGTGCATTCTCCGTCCTGAAATCGTCGGCTGGTTAAAGAGCTCGGAGGTCCTCTTCACACGTTGAGTTTGCTGGCGATGGTCACCACCACTTTCAGAACTGGCATGAAGGCGGAGATCTCGCTGAAGTTGCTGCTGCTGACGATCTGCGTGTGTACAGCCAGGGCGTTCTGGTACCTCTTCACTTCAATGTTGCGCACAATTTCATGCAGCCCGCTCAGTATGTGCACAGAGAGCTGAAGGCAGGAATAAAGAAGTTTAGACTTTTTTTGGTTTCAGTCGCCTGGGTGTCTCGACACACACAGAAACAACAACAACTTGCATATATATATATATATATATAGGACTGCTCATCCAGGGTAACGTGCCAGAGCACTTGACAGTGTCGGGGCACAACTCAAAGCCCGGGGGAGATGACCGTAGGCACAGTTGAAGAGGAAGGTCTTCAGGCTTGACCTGAAGATTGGTAAGGATGGGGCAAGGCGGAGGGATTGAGGGAGTGTTCCAAAATTTTGGGGCGTAGTGGCTGAAAGCTATATTTTGATATCTTATGTTCTTAAACCCATCACCATGCTTAAGACTATCCATAGGAACATAGGAAATGCTAGACAAAAAGAGACCATGGACAGGCAGAGAGGACCTCAGTTTAACATCTGATCCAAAGGACGGCACGTCAGACAATGTAGCACTCGCCCAACATTGCCTGATGCTCCAGCCATACCTCAAAACTTCTCCCAAAGTCACATCCTACTCTACCATCCCTTTAACCCAGACTCTTTCTCACTTACCGACTGGTCCCGCAGTTTGTCGTATAGATTCTCCAGTCGCTTGGCGGCATCGTCCAACTTCCTCTTAGTTTGCTAAATTACAAGAGAAAAAAGTTGAAAGGAAAATATTGTGTTGTTTGCATTAAAGCAATATAGCAGTCTCCAATAAAGCGTTAGTACAACACCCCGCCTACCTGTTCGGGTGCTTCAGATGGACGGAAAAGATCCTTTAGGACTATTCTGAAGGGAGTTCCCCAGGTGCCCTAACCAAATTTCCTCCCTCAATTAAACTCACTAGTTACCCCCCCCACCCCATTTATGACTCAAAGCTATGAAGGAATCCTGTTAGGAATCTTTCTAGCCTGTCTTCAGATCGCACCGGAAGATCTTCCTGTTTGACCGTGCCTACACTCACCTCCACTCTCCCACTCGGTGTCAAACTCCGCCATTGCTAAGGGCTCCAAGATGTTACCGCACATTAAGGGTACTATATGCAGGTGGTTGTTGTTCGAAATCTGCAAGTTTTACAAGGGGCACTACATTTGCCCTCAGTGACCCAGGTTAGAGTGGTTTTACAAAAAAGCTAGGTCTCTCGATCCTGATCAATGTCTAAAGACCCTTCAGAAGATGACTTGTGAATGGTGTGCGAAGGCAAGCACTGAGCTCAGCTGCTACAACCCCTTTCACTGTCGACTAGGTTGCTGACCCTCATTATTAAGCCTCACATAATAATAATCCTTGCATGTGATATAGTGTTGATATAGTGTCTCATCGCGTCGTTGAGACGTCTCAAAGCGCTTCACAGAAAATATTCACATAATGTCCATGTGGGTGATGTACCAGAGACCTGCGTCCAAACTGAAAGCAAAAGGAGTCAAAAATGCCTCTGGGCAAGGAGAGAAGAGGAGAAAGAAAACAAAGACACTCTTAAATGGTCGTGTGTGGCATCAGTGATGTGCTAGCTCACACGCTCCACATTAACATTGCAATTAGAATGATGATTCAGTCGACCCATCAGAAACAAATTAAACTGTTTCCAGTCCAGTATCAGGAGATAATTCTTCACCCGAACACACAGAACTGTGTTTCCAGATGGCTTAGCTACGAGGATACTCGTGCCGAGAGGTTAACAGAAAGGTGTGGACAAATAAAGTTTAGCCATTTGCTGCACCAGCCCCCATGGGGGTAATAATGTTGCCGCAATTTCTCTGAACGCACTGAATCTTAAGGGGAATTAAAGTCTGATAAAATTAACATCCAGATTTGCAAAAGCCTGACCAGTGGAACACTAGTACGTCAGGTGCAGTCCCTGGAAGTAATTCGGATAAGGCTCCAATGTTGAATCAGCCTGCTCAACGCTGAATCCAAACTGAGCAGTGCTGCACAGGAACACCCGGCAGAGCTAAGCTTCAGTACGCTTTGCTCCTTTGAAGTCTGTGGCAGGGTCAAGCACTGACAACACTGTCTCGCAGTCGGACACTTCTGATTATTTCACGTCAGTGCTAACAGTGTTTGTTTGTTGTAAAATGGAGGCGAAGGGCAAAGCCCTGAGAGAGAAGATCTTGTATTTTTATAGTCGGTGATGAGATCTAGGTAAAAGGATGAGAAAGAGAACAGAGGGAGTGATCACCGGACGGGAAGTTTGCCCCAACCTTGTTCTATTTCTGGCAAGAACCAGCCATCCTGGATGGATGGCAGGAACTTGGAGGAGCAGAGTGGGGCTAGGATTCTCTCTATCTGGATTCTGTTCATCCTGCAAACCAAAACCCTATCGGAAAGGGTGGAACTAGCTGAACAAGCAGGAGGAATCTTACTAGTGCTTTGCAATGGTCAGCTGTGCAGTCTTAGTAGGTTAAACCCAACCCAATGCACACTCTGAGGTCCCCAAGCCTTGGCTCTTGCCAACCTGCACCTAAATTCTATGGGATTAGGCGAGCAGGACTCCATCCTTCTGGCTAGAGAGCAAACTCCATAAATAGGTGAACTCTCAGTGGTTTGATTTGCAGACCTTGGCCATGGTAATGGGTTCCTGTTCATGTCAAGAAATCTGATTTAGGGATGCTAAGCATGTCTGACACGTGCGGAAAGCCATCACTCGGCACTCTTAAGCACAGTGATGGGTTTCTGCATTCGTCAGACACCCGGCTGACCCCCAAATATCTGCCTGAATTCTGGTCATTATGATAAAGATTTACTGTCAAAGTGGGGACCTACAGGGTCACTGGCTGATAAAAGACAGCGTTGGACCAGCCTGTCAAGGGTCATCTTCAACACCATGTGCTCTTCAGGAATCTGCTTCTTCACAATCTTCTCTGTCGGCAGCTGTTGCAGCGGCTGAAATGATAGGCACGGAAAGCAAGTGAATAGCCAGTGCGTGGGCAGTATAGGCATCTTAAGCGAGCAGCATGTGAAACAGAATGAAAGTTCCAATGTCCAGGCAAAGCACCTTCCCTGGCACAATGTGCCACCTGTCCTGGCAGAAACTCCCAAGCACCACACCGACCCGGCACAAAATGAAATAAAATAATAATAATCCTCGCATTTGATATAGCGCCTTATGTTACTGAGACGTCACAAAGCGCTTCATAGGATATACTGTAGTTTTGGCTATGTATTTTGTGAAGCAAACTGGACCTAAATTTAACGTCTCGTTGGAAGAACGGCACCTCCGACAATGCAACATCCAGCCAGCTTAGACTATTTGATTGCAAGTCCCGACGTGGGGCTTGAAATCACAACTTTCTGACTCAGAAGCAAAAGTGCTTCTGCCACGCTAGGCTGATACACAAATCCAATATGCCAACAACAACAAGGCACACAATGAGATAAAAGGTAGCTTAAAGTTTCTCTGGCACCTGTAGGTTGGCTTCTTTGGGTGCCCCTGGAGGGCCTTGATTGGTTTCCTGAGACCCCAAGGCCTGGGGTAGCAGGTGCTGCTGGCTATCTGGAGTGTAATTCACCACAGGAGCTGTGATGGGAGCCGGAGGAGCATAGTTGTCTGGTAGCTGGAAGGAAACAAAAATGGACACATTGTGAAACAGGTCAATTCTACCGACAAATTTGTGCAAAGCCGTGAATTCCATCACCAGGTCTGCAGGCATATGCCAGATGCCTTTTATGGCAGATCTCAAATTCACTTGGGACATACTACTGTTATCTGTCTGACACTGAAAGTCCTGGAAAAAATCTTTTACTCTCTCCTCTTTATATAAATGAAATTTTTTGTTGTTGATTATTCATCTCCTTGATCCTCCGGAGATGCTAAAGCCAATTGTTACACCGCGACAATGACTAGACTGAGATCCAGCAACTCAGCACAGACATTAAATTAAACCTGCAACCTTCTTGTCCGAAACGTCTCAGTAGTTTAATGGCTGTTATGTAGGCAAATGCATTGCTATCTGCACCAGCAACGTCCTACAATAAGATGAATGCCAGACTGATCTGGGATTTTCTGGGAGAATTTGGGTGAGTCCCTGCTCTTCTTATGGAATAGTGCTATGGAACCTTTAATAGACAGAAAGGGACCTTGATTTAAGATTACTTTCAACAATTTAGCGCTCCCCCACTACAGGGCTGGTGGGTCAGACTACACTGCGGGGCTCGAACCCACATTTATCAGAAGGGAGAATGTTTTGTTAGACACAGCCTTCTGTAAAATGCTACAGCAAAAAGCTTCAACAATGTACACATGTGAAAGCAAGTTCGAGGACTCAAAGCTGCTTGTCCAAGTTTGCATAATGGAGGCAAAGGGAAAAGCAAGAAGAAAGAAAGGAATGTTGTGTTTGAGGAAAGGTGGAAAAACATACAGCTGAACACACCAGGAAACTTCACAGAAGAAACAGCCCAGCAAAATACACAAATCACTTCAACCTGAAAAGGTCTGAGTGGACATTTTCAAAGGACAACTCGCCTTCCATTGTTATGTTAAACAGTTATAATTCATAGCTGTGCAGTAGAGTATTAAAAACATAATGAAACAAAGTTAAAGCACATCGATCATCTTATTAAAAAATGCTCAAAGTTGCACCTTCAGCTCGGTAACATGTTACAAACATCTCTCAGAATTGTGTCGCTTATTCAGCACGGACCAAACTCAGCGGAGGAAGAAAAATGGAATTAAAGTCTTGTTTGTTCTGCCAATTCCATCCCTCTCTTGGGAAAGGACAGTCCGACACTGCTGTGCACGTCTGGGAGCACCAATTAATCATACGTGAAATCAGTTTCTTGCTCCTTCTGTAAATCTCATAATCCCTTTGCAGTTCAAATGGTTTAGTAATGCCCTCTTTATACTATGGAGCTGCTTCAAGTAGAAGAGATTCTCTAATAGCCTGAGGCTCCCCATGCTGTGGAATCTCCCCGTTCCTACTGCGGGATAGATTGCTGAACACCAATAAGTCGGTGTGCACGGGCAGTTTTGCCGACGTGCTGTTCTTTCAAAGGCTCACCTGTTTTATGCTGCTGGGTATTGGCAGCCTGTATGAATGAGTGATCAAGCGGTCGATACCTAGAAAGGAATGGCGCCTCTGCAGACAAAGCTTGTAATTGCTGCTTGAGACTTGAATGATTCTTCCGTCAACAGCCAAATGTAGCTGTGTGTAGGCACAGGGATCAATAACATGCTTCGTGTTTGACAATAAAGGGAAACCTCAGTGATATGATCTGTCCAAAGGCACACAGACTAGATCTGAGCCCAAAAACTCAAAAAGACTATTAGTCAAACTGCTATTAGGTTAATATCAAATTATTTACATACTGTAACACTCACTGTGTTTCCCACCTCACCAGGGCTGCATATATTATCAATGTTAGAGATTACAGCTTCATAGACCTTTATAGAACAGAAAGAGGCCATTCAGCCATTCGTGCCTGTTCTGGCTCTTTGAGAGAGTGATCTATTTAGTCTCAATCTACCCTGCCCTGTACAGCGAGAGAATATCTTTTCTCAGGGTTACTGTCTCAAAGCCTGCGTTGAACGCTGCTCTGACTGTACGTGCAGTTTTTTTTGCAGGTTTGGAGAGTTTTGATTCAGGTTTACCTGCAAAACTTTCAGGAAGAACCTAGAATCTGGTAATACAAAGGCCACCATCAAAGGTAGAACTCACATGGTCCTCAGTAAGACATAAAGAGAAGAGATCATTCTTTGGAACATGAGGCTGTCAGTGGAAGCCCTCACCAGAGATATCCCAAACAGGGTTATTTCAGTGGTTTAGCTCCAGCTCGGAGATTTAAACTCTAAAAGGTGACAAGAAACTGAAGTTCCCAAAACAGAACTGACTGGGCAATCATCCTTGTGTTTTCTCAACAAGGAGCTCTTCTCAATTCAATACCTGAATGAGGATAGGTATTCAAAGCCCCATATGGACTATCAAGGATTACTATTATCAGGGAAGACATTTTGTTAACAATCTAGGAGAAGATGTAAGGATATCAAGGAATGTACCACTTTTCCTGAACTCGAGCTAACTCTGTATAAAGTTAGCAGCATCATTCGCAATCAGACTAAGTGGATTAATCACCCCGATTAATCTTCTCCTTTTTGGGGGCAGTTCAGTATTCTCACAAGGACAGGAGGAGGTCCATTCAGCTTTGGGCCTGTTCCATCGTTTTATTAATCATGGCAGATCCTTTATTCCCATTTCCGTACCTTCCCTCTATATAATAATCCTTACACTTGAGTTTATTTCCCCACAGAATACACACAGTCAGACCACTTTACAGTATATCTATCTTGGGAAGCACTTTGCAACATCTCGACAAAGTGATAAGGCACTTTATCAAATGCAAGGATTATTATTATTATAAAGGATTATTATTATTTCCTGTCAGGAGGAGGTTTCGGAATGCTTCACCGGATTTACTGTGAAGTGGTGTGACTGTACTTTTTGTGGGCAAATATCCGTTCCAAGAATAAAAAAACGTTGCATTTCAGATAATGCCTAGACGTTTGAATGGTCATTGTGGGCAAGTGTCATCTTTGTGTATTTGCAGGCAAACACACACAGCATGGCTCCTCAAACAGTTGTGTCTACAGAACTGCAGCTAATACCAACAGATCAAACACTGGCTGACTGACGATTCCTGGAGAATTTGATTTTCGAACACTGGTCAGTTCAACGAGTTAATATTAATATGATAGATGCAAGGCTTATAACCTGAGTCTCTTGTAACCTGCAGTGCTTGTTACCGTGACATAGTGGACCTTTTTTCAGCACAATACTGCAGGACAACATTAATTGATAACAGTAGCGGTGAGAGAAATTTTTTTTTGCTGACAATTGTGCACTGTACCAATTATGCAGACGTCTTTCTATTATGAAGGAAGACATCATATGGACACTTCCCCAATGTGTTAAATGTACTGCATTTCCGTGCTCTGGACGAGATGTTAAACCAAGGTCCCATTCAGGTGGGTTAAAGATCCCGTGGTACTATTTGAAAAGAGGAGTTTCTTTCTCCCAGGGTCCTGGCTAACAATCCTCCAAATAAAATCAAGTCACTCACTTTATGGTTGTTTGTGCTTTTGTCACCTCTCGACTGGACTACTCTAATGCCCTCCTCGCAGGTCTCCCCTCCTCCACTATTCACAAAATTCAGCTCATTCAAAACTCCATTGCCTGCATTCTCACCCGCACCAAACTTCGTACCCGATTACTCCAGTCCTTGCCAAACTGCACTAACTCCCTGTCACAGAGCAAATCGACTTCAAGATCTTCGTTCTAGTGTTTAAATTCCTCCATTCCTTGGCACCCCCCTATCTCTCTAACCTCCTCTCTCCCCACAGCAGTACCCGCTGCCTCCGCTCTACTGGGTCCAGCCTCCTCCGTGTCCCCCGAATCCTCCGCTCCACCATCGCTGGCTGTGCCTTCAGCCACTACGCCCCGAAACTTTGGAACTCCCTCCCTCAATACCTTCGCCTCGCCCCCTCCTTCCCCATCTTCAGGTCGTGCCTGAAGACCTTCCTCTTCAACCGCACCAACTGTCACCTTCCCCCCCACCTGGCCTGGCCTCGGGCTTCACCATTGTTAAGCGTGTTGAGACGCCCCCCGGCGTGGAGGGCGCTATATAAATGCAAGTTGTTGTTGTTTGTGGGACACTTATGTGAGCTATTGGCTGCACACGTTTTGCCCACAAACTACAGTCGCTCCACTTTACAGTATATTCTGTGAAGCGCTTGGAGACATCTCGAAGATGTGATAAGGCACTATATGAAAAGAGTATTATTATTATTGTGTTTCTTCCCCCTCACTGAAAGCTGGGTACCTCCTGCACTGAGGAAGATACTGTAATGAATGCTTTTTAAAATTCCTGTAATATCCTTTAAAATTCAAGATTCATTGAAGTGCAGTCAGTTAGGAGAAGCATCACCTCAAACTGAAACTAATGGTTCCATGAATCCACAACTAAAAGGATTTTCAGATTAACCCTCTAAGCTCATCACGTCCACAGGAGGTCACTCAGTTGAACTGTAAAACCCACTGAGAGAGAGTAATTACAGCCAGGCTAAAACTGATGATTTTCAGGAAAAAAAATACAGCTAACCATTTCCAGCTGCGCTATCAGACAAGGAGCCAACAATACTTTTACCCTCAATTTCTCGGGCAGTCCCTCTCTAAACGTGCCTTCTAAATACAGTGTGATTTGTCAAGTGTGTGGGGTCATTGAGCGTGAATTTATCAAGTGCATAGAGAGTGCTTTGCTCCAATGGCTCAGGCTGGCAAGCTTGCCTTGACATACTGGGTAAAAGTGCTTTAATTGTGCATTACGGTGAGATGTCATTAGAGGCTGTAGGTTTAGGGAAACAACTACAATAGCAAATTACATTTGTATAGCGCCTTTCACGTTGGCAGGACGTCCCAAGGCACTGAAATACTTTGCGGCATTAATTAAAAAGTTTCTTCTTTAGTACATTCTTACTCAGTTTTTGAATGAAATCACACTCCAGTACTAGGGAACAACTCAAGATATCACGTGACTGTTCCCTCCTCCACCACCCCCCTTCTGTGTCAGGTACAATCCCTTCCTTGATTTACTCTGTCTTACTTCCTTTGCACAATAAGATAGTTATGCTGCATATAAAATCCATTCTGTAAACTTCTGAGCTTTGAAACAGCATCTGTGAATTGTTCTCCATTCAATCTAATGAAAAAGAATCGATGCTCAAATCTCCACCTTTGTGAATGTTCATTCAGTTAACACTTCACTTGATAATAGGTCTGGTAAGAATGGAAATAACCTGTGAGCCAAATAAGAGCCCAATTTCTGCTGTCTGTCCACTGTTGTAGACTGGCACAGTTTAGATAGTGGACAATAGCTCTCAGATAACTATACAACAATAACAATATTCTGTGCATTTGATATAGCGCCTTATCACATCGTTGAAATATCTCAAAACACGTTGCAAAATATACTGTAATTGACTGTATTTTGTGGGGAAAAGCAGCAACCAATTGCACACAGAATTTCCCACAAACAGCTGTGGATTGTGATCCTATCTAATGCGAATGAAAGCTAAAGGGAACACAAACAGCTCACCAGGCACAGATACAAGTGTAGCTCAACAACTCCATCTGCTGAAACCGACCCCATTTCAACAGTAGTTTGCTCTCAAGACATTTCCCCTGAAAAATAACCCCATTCCCTTACACAGAGAGTGCATTAACTGGTTACAACGCAAGATTTAAGATCGCATACAGAGGCAAATGAGGAGATAAGATACAAGAACAACACAGACTGTTCATTAGCTGTAAGCTCACTGCTTGCCAGGATGTGTAGACCAATACATTTGGGGAATAAAAAATGGTGGAACACAAATATAAACATCCCCACATAAGAGGGATTTAATATGAAATTCACAGCCAACTTACCTCCTAAAACTGCTCTATTCTCTAATCCTCCCCACCAGTGAATGGGGAAAGTATCTCCAATTGAGAAGAGTTTAGCCACAACCAAAATATTCAACAATGCAGGACCCATGAATCAGACTCCCAGGTCTTCAGGTTAGCAAGGCTCGGTTATGCATAACTTACCACTTTCTTTCTTTGTCCCGCCCGTACTGCAGGGGGATCATTCCACCCATCGTGGAACCCTGTGAAAGAAAATAAATATATTGAGACAAGCCCTATAAAAAATGCTGTCTGTCACACGATTGACAAAGATGCTTCTACTTTTTTTAAAATGCGCATCTATCATCATCAAACTTGCGTTATCGTCAAGCTTAGTAACAGTGTTATTGTTTTTTGCATGATCAAGTCAAGGTGGCAAAGCTTCAACATTTTAATGCTCTCAGTCACACTCCCCTCCTTATGTGGTTGCGATGAATGCCCACCATTGATAACAGAGAGCACTTTGAAATAATCCACCTCCAGGCTTCCTGAATTGAACCTTTGTGAAATACATTGTCAGACACAGTGGTATATTTTAAGGTTTCTTTGGGGGAGTTCCAGGCCTTCTGTTGCGCTGCTTTGACACACAGCAGTACAGTCATTGGATGAGTCTCACCAGGCGTGCCATTTCTGCCTGGAGCCTGTGTCTCCATTGGGGAAGAGCACTGAAGGACTCTGCGGTGTCTCGCAATACACAGCAATATAGACCTTAAAAAATATACAGAACAGGAGGACGCCATTTGGCTTTTAGATGATCAATTCTGAAGGTGCCTGTGCAAGGATTCAGGCGAACCTCTGAGTGCCTGCAGTACTGACAAACCCTTTGTGCAGCTTTCTCACTATTTGACTTCTCCATGCTCAAAAACATCGACAGTTTTACCTGGAACCTGGTGGCAGCTCACTCAAACCTCTGAACAAAAAGCAACGCATCTCAGCAGGGATCAACACGCGTTAAAGCTCAGGACAAACCATTCCCTTTGGAAAGTGGCTGTCTTGTTTGGAATAAGTCTATTATTGTCTGTTTGTGCGTAAATTGGCTGCAATGTTTGGCCACACACACACAAAAAAAAACAGTCCCTGCACTTCACAGTATAAGCTGTGAAGCGCTTTGGGACTTACTCCTGACGTGGAAGACAACAAATTTAAGGATTATTATTACAATAACAACAACAACTTGGATTTATATAGCGCCCTCCACGCCAGACGGAGTCTCAGAGCGCTTTACAGTAACAGTTCCCGGGACCGAGCTGGGGGGAGGGGGAGGAAAGTGACCAAAGGCGCGGTTGAAAAGAAAGGTCTTCAGCAGAGACCTGAAAATGGGAAGTTTATTATTTATTATAAATTTTATTGAAAGTATAAATTTTATTGAAAATTTATTATTACAAATAATAATTCCCTTATTCCGATTCATAAAGATTCCCAACTGAAGGGGATTACATGTGCATGTCCTGTTTCACACAAGGGTGAGACAGGAGCTCACAGCTACAGTGCTTTATCCTCAGCCCTAGGGCATTAGTGAGAACATCTGTGGGACGAGACATTTCATCGCAGGAAGAAAATGATGTTCAACACCTAGCAGAGGCACGGGAGCATGTTATCGGTCAGTCCTCTCAATGACAGAGGGAACAATTGAAAATGAGAGAGGAAGGGGAAAAGCAAAACGAGTGTGAAAAAAGCCCCATTCCTCCAGAAAGCTCAAAACACACAGTCAATCCACTTCATAGCATATCCTGTGAAGAGCTTTGAGACATCTCAACGACATGATAAGGTGCTACATCAAATGCAAGGATTATCATTATTGTCAATCAACAAATACCTTATTTTACATACAAATCCCTGCTCAGCTACGGTTAGTTGTAAAAGGGTGTTAAAAAGTTTGTTTAAAAAAAGGAAGTGTTACTTTTTTTAGAAAATACATATAAAAGCATGCAAACAAACAAAATAAAGACTAGTGTTCTTCATAATCAAGCGAGAGCGATACAATGTCAATACTTCAATTGTGTCACATAACCCTCAAATTAAACATAATCCTTTCCCTAAAACGGTGTTGAAAACAGAAGGAAAATCTGAAAACGTTTACAAGTAAAGGAAAACTTTCAACAATGTGTCTGGGGAAGGAGTATGAAGAACACTATTGTGCGATAGAGAAGTCTTGAGGGGAGGCTAGCTGACCAGCCCTAGCACTTTCTAATATCCTTTCACCTGCTGGATAAGGACGATTTTGTAGCCACGGAAGGAATCCTGAAAAATCAAAGAGGACAGGAAAGTTCTATAGACAATCTGGAAATCAGTGCGTACAACAAACACTCAGTTAGCGAGCACAAACAGCCAGAACACACGCAACTCCATACATCTTTCACCAAGAGTGTGAATGATAAACAGCTGCACACAGCACGGGTATCCGACAATTCACATTAATCCTCACAGGCCAGTGAATATCTTTGCAACGGATTGCTAAAGTAAACTTAAACTGCACCATTTCCCTGCCCTTACTATCATGCAATGCAATACAATGCAAGGGAGGACTTACTGTCCTGATACATGCTCTGTCCAGGTGGAACCCGAACGGCAAAACCGTCTGTGGATAATTTCTGGTCGTCTTTCAATTACGTAAAATAACATTTAGCTACAAGTCAATCAAAGGAATATCAGGGCTGTGACAACTGTTCAAATCTCTTGACCTTCGTTCTTCACATCACCCAGTCATTGGATTGCATCGCATTATCATAACACACTTCCAGTCAACCCCTCTCTGCATCGTGAAGTCTCTGTGGTATAACCAAATGAAACCATCCCCAAACATGTCGAACACCTTTAGTGATTCAGCAGCTATGCGGTTTTAGCTGGTTAGACTCCAGCAGTTACCCCAATGCATACGGATCCCCAAGGCTTGGCTCTTGCAACATGCGCCTAATTTTCCGGAATTAGGTAAGCAGGATGCATCCCTCCAGGGAGAGAGTGCACATTCCATTCTAACAATCTATCTCTGGATTTCCATGTGTAGGTGGGATTCATCAAATTCTCAGTTGGGTTTCAAGACTCTTAAGCACGGCGAAGGGTTTCTGCATGTGTCAGACACCCGGCTGACCAAAAAAAATTGGGGATCAAAACTGGGATGTTCTCGGTCTGTATGGCTTGGCAAATGGGTAAACTCACCGAATCATTGGGAAAGAGAAATGGTTTATTCTCAGAACTTCAGCAACTTCATATCCCAGAAGTAAAGAATCTTTCACCCACAAATATACGGTCAATTCACTTTACAGCATATTCTGTGAAGCGCTTCGAGACGTCTAAAAGACGTGAAAAGCGCTCTATCAAATGCAAGGATTATTATTATTATAATCAGTGCAGATAACTATTGTAAAGCTCTTCACGTGAAACTGATAAGTAATAAACTACCATCTGTTAATTAATTAATGATTCTATCTTCCCCTTCCTCTATAGCTTCTTTCACCAATACATTTAACTGATGCTCTGCAAGTCAATCGGTGTTTTATTTTCTGGAAAAGCATTTGTAACGCTTGTTTCAATCCTCAATGCTATGCAAGCACTGGAATCATACAATCTTACAGCACAGAAGGAGGCCATTCGGCCCATCGTGCCTATGCCGGCTCTTTGAGTTATCCAATTAGTCACACTCCCCCACTTTTTCCCCATACCCTTGCAATTTTTTTCTTTTCAAGTAAATATCCAATTCTTTTTTGAAAGTATTGTTGAATCTGTTTCCACCGCCCTTTCAGGCAGTGAATTCCAGATCGTACGTAAAAAATTCTCCTCATCTCTCCTTTGGTTCTTTTGCCAATTATCTTGAATCTGTGTCCTATGTTACCAAATTCTTGTGCTAAATGAGTGGAGGTGAGGATCAACTTCCAGGGTGAAGTCGTGCATTAAAAAAAGAAGCTAATAAAACAGATATCTGCAAAAGCCAAGCAGCCACAGAGCCAACAGGGAGATTCTCAATGCACTTGTATCTGCTCTCAAATTAGTCTGGATGGTTCAGGATGGTTTTATGCCTCTTAACATGATATTCCCAATAACAAAGTAGGAGAGGGAGCAGGAGTCCCGGCATCTGAGCTAACCTGTCAGTTAGACCCAGTTGTTAATCGATTGGCGGATCGCTTACTGCTCCAAAACAAGAATAGAACTGAATGAATTGCGAGCACTTGGGAACTTCAACCTTCCTTGGTTAGCGCCCTCGCCTCACAAACGAGAGGACCAGGGTTCAATTCCCAGATGGGGCAAAACCTTAGGCAAGTTTCCTTACTCTAAATGCCTGTTTATCTAGCGTAAGTAGGAACTCAGTTGTTAGTCGATGGTGATCAGTTTCTAGGGGATAATAATCCCTCCAAAATAAATAATAATTTGGTCACTCAATCGACAATTGTTTGTGGAAAGCTGCTGTGCACAATTGGCTGCTCCGTTTCACCACAAAATACAGTCAATACACTTTACAGTATGTTCTGTGAAGTAATTTGAGACGTCTCAACCACGTGATAAGGCGCTTTATCAAATGCAAGGATTATTACTATATTAGGGGTCTCGCATAAAGCGAGTCGGACTCTGCTGCCAATCAGGCACTCACCCTGTGAGGGGGTCAGTGGCCACATACAGCTGCTCTACCAGCTTGTGTACAACGCAAACAGATAGTGAGGTATCATTGGAAACTTTCAAGCAACTTAGTGAAAAAGAAACATTTTTCCATTAATGGGCAAACACGGGAACCCAGAGGGAGAGGAAAGGTTGTAAATTCTACAACAATGTACGAAATATAGAAATATGTTTACATGCTGCATATATTGCTCTCTTAGGATTCTTACTCTTTCCTTCGGAACAACCTGAACAGGTTGCCTTGTAGATGTTAGAATTTCTTTTAAGCACAGACGGTTGTTTGAATATGGAATGCCTTAGTACAAGTGTCTGTTCAAACCGAGTGAATAACATGAAAGGGAAATTTGATAAATGCTTGAGGAAAAATAACTTTAAAGGTAAGGGGAACGTGATTAAAGTTATGGATTCAAGCAGCACAAGAGAATTTGTGCTCAGTCAGACGGAAGTGCTATCCTTCATATAAAATGTTGGACTGAGGTTCTGTCTGCGTGTACAGGTAGACATGAAAGAATCCTTGAAAAAAGAGAATTTATCCTGAACAATAATCCTCCAGTTAAATGATCTTTGACCTCCTGGCTGTTTGTTGAATATTTCAGTGGACAAATTGGCTGTAGAAAGGTGACTTGCAGGATTCTCACCAACACATCTCGCAACAAGAACAGAAAGCACAATTTGGCAGAAATGCTAAGATTTCAGGAATGGATTCGCGATTGATCACTCTTTGGAATATTAGCCCAGACCTGGACTATACCTTGACTTCACCTCTCTGCTGGCTGAAAGCTGTAGTGGAGCGTAGTTAGAGACAGCGTGCAAGTTTTAACTAACTGCATGCAGGTAGCAGCAAGGAACTGATATTCGCATTCAGACAAAACACCTCGACAGCACCTACAGACTCAGTACCTGTTGAAGGAGGAGGAGGAATAGTAGTGGACTTCAATAACTTAGACGAAGGAACTCCAGGGCCCCCTGCTCCAGTGGGGTAGAGGAAAGGAGACTGGAGGCCTGGCAGAGATGTAGGGTGTTGGGGCTGCATCTGGGGATGACCTGGGAAATTGGGGGGTGGCCTGGGATGCGAAGGAGACAGTAGAGGGTTAGATGGCTCATAGGATGGCCTGGTGATGGGGGCCACAAAAGAGGGTCCTGGCATGGGTACGCTGGGCATTGTAGGTCCGCTCAGGGAGGCAATGGGTAGAGTTGGGCCAGTCAGGCCTGAACCTGGAAGTGGACTGTGTGAGGGATAGCCCGCTGGTCCACTCAGAGAAGCCCTTGGCTGTCCGAAACCTGAAACGCAGCAAAAAAACAATTAATCCGATTACAAGCACACTTTTCCTTCTTTACTTGAACCTCGACAATTCATACCGAATACAATTAACCAAATATGGGACATTCTAAACTTTATTTGTTTCCGGGATGGGAAATAGGCCACATGTTTGGCAGCGATATCCTTCAGGTGAAGTTTCACAACTCCCCAGGCCTCCTACTCTCACAATACGTCAATCAAATATCACAAAGCAATATAATAATCCTTACATTTGATATAGCATCTCATCAAGTTGCTGCGAAGTCTCAAAATGCTTCACAGAATATATTGCAAAGTAAATTCACTGTATATTTTGTGAGCGAAACACAGCAGTCAATTGAGCACAGCAGTGTCTCACAAACAGTCGTGGCTGGAGTAACCAATTTTTTTTAAACAATATATTTTTTGAAAGGCTCATTAACCCCAGAAAGCAACCTGCAAGTCAGCTAACAACAGGCTTGGTGCTTACTGCTGAGTAAACAGAGGCGTGTGGAGACTTGCTAAGGTTTTGCCCTGCCCGGGAATCAAACCCGGGTTTTTTCAGGAGAGCTATTTGAAGTTAAGGTGCTTACCTGGCACATGAGCTGCAGCAGGATAGTGGGAAGCTCCCGGTCTGGGGAACATGTTGGTAACTGTGCCGGGTTCCACACCTGGGGGTGCGCTGGGCTGCGGACAGAAACCTGCGGGGTCTGAGGGGTGCAGCTGGGTGGGAGGACAATAGGAAGTGTGGTATGGAGTCTGCAAAGACAAAATGAGAAGGACAGTTAGGAGAAAGAATAAAAGTTTGACAGTCCACCAACCATCACAAAATCAATTTAGAATTTCACATGTTGTAGTTATGCGAGTTATTAACACGCTCCATTTGGGGAGACAAGGAAGAGGACAAGTGGAGGGATTCCAGGATGGAGTTCCAGGGAGCGGGGCAGAAAAGCTGAAGGCCCGACAACTGATGGTGGGGCGTGCAGGGCGGGGGACATGGAACCCACCATCTCCCCAATGCTCACATACCTGCTGAATGGGCTGCTGGGGTCCTCTCTGAGGTGGTGTTTGTCGTGTTGAGGCAGGAGCGGGAGTGGAAGCTGAACGCACTTTCCCCGTTGCCACCCGGTTGAATGGAAAAGCTGGAGCCTGGTGCCCGGTCTGATCCTCTCCCTGAGCGTGGAACAGCCTGTCTCGGAGCTGGAGTATTGTCAACTGAAAGTGATCACATCGAAGTCAGGCAAATATGTGCAGCTTTCAAATGCCTCAGACCCCCGCCACCCACCTTCCAACCTCTGTAATCTTCTGCTATCCTAATACCCTGCCAATTCCCCCCCACCCAGCTAGACACTCCACTGGTCAGTGGGTAAACCTACAGCCACCTAACCACCTCCCCATCACCCATTGAAGCACTACATCCCTCTGCCTCACATCCTCCCTCTCTACAGGGTGCTCACAAAGTCCTGTTGTTCCTCCCTCCCTGTTTCTGCTTACAATAAAGTTTTATTTTCTGTTGCAGATGAGTCGAATGCAACTATGCCTGATACCAGTAACTTCCTTGTCACTCCGTCCATGTTACAGAAGATGTCGCAACCAAACATAGCAACAGATCATTATTTGCCATGAAAATGATGGCGCTCACACACGGGACATCTAAATACAGTTAATCACTTGTACTAAATACAATGAAGTACTTCTAAATACAATCATCATTGTTCTTCCGCATATTTCAGTTGTTGATCAGTGCTACACATTGCACTGTAGAAAAAAAAATATGGGTAACAGGACTTTTGTGAACACCCTTTCAAAAGGGTTGCACTTACAAAAATCTTTCCCTCTGATTGCACCTATGCAAGGTACAAAGGACCAAAAAAACACACAGAACAATGATCAATGGCACACCTGATTCGAAGCGGTGGGGAGGTAACTCATAGCTGCTTCCAAGCTTCCTTGAGACGCCAGTAAGCTGGCATACTGTGTAAGCTTTTTTGCAAAGACTGGGCCCTCTGCTGACACCTCTGACCCTTGGAGTATCTCGATTGCCCTCTTCAGAACCATCACCTTCTCCACGAGATCCTGGCGGGGGAAACACAAGGCCTGGTTAAACTCATCGAGGCTCAAGTTCCCATTCTCAGTACACTCATCCTTCATAAGCATTGCATGATAAAGCCTTTTGCTTCATAGAAAACTGTGATTTTATTGACAGAGTTTTGATCAAGGGATGCTGTTCTAGTCGTTGGAAATGAACCCTATAAAATGTAGTGTCAGATTACGTACAACACAGGTTAAATGCAGGCACAAGTTTTTTTTAGAGTCAGTAGAGTACAACACGTCAAATGAGACCCACAGCTTAGTTTCATGCTAAGGACCTGTCCCACCTCATTCATTTCACAAAGTATCTTTACAGACGAGATACAAGAAGTTTCACAATGTTTGAAAATGTTTTTTGGGGAGAAAAAGGATTTGACAAACTTGATAGATGTGTGTTCTTCACACTGATAGCGGGATCCAGAACAAGATGAGTGTCTTACTCAAAGGGCTGCTACGGCATGGAATGTACTGCCAGAAGGCTGTAGCTTCATAATTGACTGATGTGCACATTGCAAGTCACAAATAAGGAATCCTGACAGTAAACAGATTGCGTCACTGTGACTTGCAGGAGCTCCGTTCTGACGTGCTGGAAGCGGATTGCATGGGATGGCTCTGTAGCACAAACCCACACTGTCTGATGTGAAAGGCGCTATACAAATGTAATTTTGTGGTTCTTGTGGTGAAATAGAATATCCAGTTTTCTACCTCCAGAGCTAGTGGAGTTGCACTTTCATGTGTCTTGACCCAGCATTCCACCAGTTTCTCCACATTTCCAGAGCAGATGTAGCAAAGGCAGGCCTGAACACACAGCTTCTCACTCTCCAGCTCCAGTCGGAAGCCCAACGTATCTGGGGGAAGGGAAGAAGCCACAGAAATCAACATCGCCCGCAGAAGCAAATTGCATTTATAGAACCGAGTTTAAAATCCTGGTCCTCACTTTTAAAGCCCTCCACGATCTTGCTCCTCCCTACCTCTACAACCCTCAACATTGTTCGATCCTCCTCCGTTCACATAATAATCAGCTGCCCAGAAGCATTGTATATGTGGCACAATACTCCTCAACTCTGTTATTAACAGGTTTCCAACAGCAGGCAGAGTACTGTTGTAACACAAATGCACCCTTTGTCAATTTCACTGGAGTAAATACTTGATTTATTAATATTTTTGTCAACTCGAAATGTAAAAACATCCTTTGGCACCAAACTATGACTCACCATCAACTCCAGTGAAGTAAGGATGTTTCCCCCCTAGATTACATTTCTTATTGTTCCTAATAACCAAAATTAAAACAGGTTTGTTTCTCCACAAAAGCGTTAAATTGCAGCTGGTTTTAGAAAGTAATAAAGTAGTAAACTTCACTTGAGGAAAGCTTCTGTTGCAATTAATATTTCACTGTGAATTCTCAGTAGGTAAAAATTTCCAGGTAAGATTACTCATTCATCACAGATTACTTCACTTGAGTCAAAGCTCCAGATAGCCTCAGAATCATGGAGTCTCAACAGTGGTAATGTAACATTTGACATAACATGCAACTATGACAGAAATTCAGGGCTGTCCATTCAGCCACAGAATGATGGTGCACTGAACCTACCGCACAGCAAGGGGAACTCTTCTGGTTTGGCGTAAGTCAAAAGAGCGGCTAAGGCTTCTTTCCAATTGTCCAAGTCACACGACTGGACAATGTCCCTCCAATTATGGGTCACTACGGAGGAGACAAGCTGGAAAAGAACACATTAGTATCAACTCTCCTTCAAATATCGTAACAGTTGGAATTTGCACTCAGGGTCAAATTTAAGTAATTTTCCTTACTGCCCCATCTAAACTGAAATTCTTGATGTATAGCTAAGGTGAATATCTCGTCTGGTAATGTCACCTTACAAATTTGTCTTAGATACTTTGAAGAGTAAGGCATCTCAGATGGCACAATGAATAATAGATAATAATAATCATCTGGGTCCCTGGGGTGCATCTGCACAAAATCCTAAAAGACTGAAAATATACTTGAACTCTTCTATTCGATGAACTCAAGCGAGGTTCAGATGAAGTAGGCCCTTTGGCTCATTTGATCTCACCTTTCCAGATTGTGATCCCATCTGTCCTACTACAGCATTGAGCTAAACTGAATTCAGTGCTCTGGCCTTCCTGGTAAAGCATTCCAGCTGTGGATTACCTTATGTGTAAAATGATACAGCCTGGCATCTGTCCTAAACTTGCTCTGTATAACTCTCTACACCAGTGTCCTGCTGCCTTGGCTGAACTGGATTGTCTAAAGCCTGCGGGGTTGCACACTTTTCCCTGCCTTACTCTGGAAGTAATATTGACATGTGCATTGTAATCTGATGGATGATGCAACCAATATAATAATCCTTGCATTTGATATAGTACCTTATCATGTCGTTAAGACATCTCAAAGTGCTTTACAGAATATACTGTAAAGTGAATTGATTGTATATTTTGTGGGCAAAATATGGCAGCCAATTGCACACAGAGCCGGTCCCACAGTCGTGGATTAAGTGGCCAAATTGTTTTTTTTAAATGTTTTTTGGAAAGCAATCCGCGAATCATCTAACAAACTGGTTCCTACTTACTGCTAGGTAAACAGAGGCGTGTGGAGTAAGGAAACTTGCCTAAAGTTTTGCCCTGCCCCAGATTCGAACCCAGGTCCTCTCGCCTGCTCTAACCATTACACTAGAGGACTCGGTGAAAGCAAAGCGCTAACTTAACATGTGCATGTCCTGCAGAAGAAGTGACTTTACCCTGGAAAGTTTTGTCTTTTTTTTTGCAAAATATCTCCTCTGTGTCTGGGCAAGAAGGTCCTCTCCCCCAGCGATGGCCAGAATGATGGCATCAGCAAAACGTTCGTCCTTCAGACACAACTCCACAGCGCCTTCAAAGTTCCCCACCAAGAGGGCCTGGCTGATCAATCCATCGGTATCTGGGGGAAAAAAACACACATATTGTTCCTTAAACCTAGTCTTGCTTCACACACGTTTATATCTTAAGGGAGATGAATGTAGAAGTTTCTGTACAAGTGATGGTCAAGACATCAGCTGCCACTCGGAGAACCGCAGGATTACATGGGTATGAACCCTTAACCCTTTGCATCACAAAATAAAAACAAAAACAGAGGTCGCTGGGAACACTTAGTGGGTCAGGCAGCATCTATGGAAAAAGGAAAGTGAGTCATCGTTTCGGGTCCACGACCTTTCGTCAGGACAGTCTGAGATTTCAAAGCTTAGAGGCATAGTGCCTGACAGTGCGGCCGCCGATGGTAGAGGAGTTATAAGGTTATAATGCTTTGAGTAATCCGGTTCTTACCTCCTGAAATTGGGATCTCGAACTTGGGCTTTTCCACTGGAATATTGTCGAAGAAGTCGGACATAATGGAGCCATCTCCTACGGCAATCGACTCCTCGGAGCTTGAACTCTGGAAGAGAACGAACAAATACATAGAGCGAGCAATTCTTTTAACAGGTGAAGCTACAGCCTGCTTATAGTAAAACCTTCACCAAATCTGCGATTCATGCACAAAACGTCCGCTATTCCGTCATTCCAGGTGTTTTTACTGTAGATATTTGAATCAATTATGCAGCTTATGAATATAATTTATGGTGAGTTCAGCTGCAACCTCAACTGGATGATGCAGACACAAAAGGACCCACACCTACTACTCGCTCCAACACAAAAGCTACTCAGACAAGTGCTCACTTCTTCAACCTGACTTCACTTTGGTTTGTGGGCATATCTCAATGATAATAATAATAAAAATAAAAATCTTCCTCTTCGACCACGTCTTTGGTCACTCTCCTACCCTCCCACCTCTCTTGATCCCAACCCCAAACTCGGGTCAAATCCTGTCCGGTGCCTTGGGACTTTCTCCCGATATGAAAGACACTACACAAATGTAATTTGTACCATCTCACCCAAATGCATGATTGTATTGAACACTCTTTGGTTCTTCACTAGTTTCGGTAGTTAGTAGGCTTCACTCTTTAGTCTTAACCTATTACTTTGGATGGATATCTAATATGTTCGCCTACAAAATACTCAAGGCACGGCACTTTACATTAAGTTCTGTGAAGAACTTTGAGCCATCGTCCAGGTTTTCTTACTCGATTTTGTGCTTCAAACCATCTTCTACTTTTACAAACTTTTTCTTTTACTCTCACAAGGATGCAACGTGGAAATCTAACCACGACTGCTCCGAGGCTTTTACAGCAATGCCTTTCGGTCTCTGTGAAGACCACAGCTGATGCATTAGCTAGCACCAGGCAAACAGGTCCAGTTATGCTTGTTCTTACGACACACGTGGCAGACATGAAGGATTACATGGATGGAACACAATGTAAAGAAATGCTTGGCAATGAGAGGGGGCAAATCCCAACTGAAGGGTTTGCACCTGAACTGCGGTTGGTGTCAAGAGTGGTAGAGGGGGAGGATGGCCGAAGGCACAATCAAAGAGTCTTAAGGCGGGTCTTGAAGGAGGCAAAGGAGGGGACGAGGCGGAGAGGGTGGTGGCAGAAAGGGAGATGTCCAACTACCAATAGAGGAGGATGAAGGACAGTGGACATGGAGATAGCCAGTGCCAGCCGAAAGGTTCTTCGGGTACCTGAATGGAGACCCCCTGCATCTTCTGCGTGCTCTCAGTACCATCGGCCTCTGGGCCTTTCGCCTGCGCACTGCTCCCTGCAGAGGAGGAGATCTGAAATATCAATTGAGAGAATTACTGTTTGACACAAGACCTTCGGCCAGTAAATTTCTGAATTAAGAGTAGCAACTCCTTTCAGTAACCAGACATCATGCACATCACTACGATGTGCATCATAAGTAATGACTTTGTGCCCTTAGCGTGTCTCTTATATATCACTGCAAAATCTCAGTAGACTTCAGACTATCATCGTATTAGCATTAGTGATCCTTACCTTCTTGTCAAGCTCTTCCTTATTGTATCCAAGTAGTTTCAAGTACTTTGTCCGAGGATCTTGTTCAAAGTTTACCTAATGAAAGGCAGAGAAGTTCACTCCAAGTTGACTAAATGAATGCAGCATGTACAGGATCAGCAGTTTGAACATGGGAAGATTGCATCAGCATCGGACGGAAATCTCATGATCTGATATTCAAGAAATTCTAGTTTCTCTCAAATCCAAACTTCAAACCAAAAGATGCATCGAATTAGAGATCAAGAGCATTAATGGAAAGAGACGTAATCACATTCACCACAAAATACACAGTCAAGCACTTCACAGTATACCCTTTTAAGTGCTTTGAGATGTCTCAACAACGTAATAAGGCGCTATAATCAAATGCAAGGATTATTAATTATTAATTAGATTCTTGACAACGTAAAGGCAGACTGTACCTTTAGGAAGTTCCAGATGCTCTGCTCAAACTCTGTGGGTGCCGCATTAATCTTGGACTGGCAGTAACTGACGAAGGCCCCGGATTGGAGTGCTGTTTGGAGCTCACTGGAGCGATGCAGAAATTCCGTCTCTGTGGTGACCACGCTGACAAACACCTGGCGGGGAGCGGGCTGCTGAGCCTGGGGTGGCCCAGGTTTGGGGCTGCTGAAGGTGATCAGCTTTCCTCCGAACTGCAACAAGAAACAAGCGGAAAAGAGTTTCCATTGGGAAAGAGTTTCCATGTGACATTGTTGGACCCCGGCTGGGCACTCAAAATGGTACAGATCTTTAAAGCTGGGATAAATTTTGGCTGTCAGTCCTGTGAGCGTCACAAAGAGAGCGAGACAATAAAAAGAACAGGTTTGTTCAATGCAGGTTGTTCAATCGTAGGATCCCATATTCCTGGGGTTTAAAGAATTACTGTAAATGATAGCAAAGATATCCTTTACATGTTTTCAATGTAGCAATGGAACTGGGTAGCCCCTTTATTACTGTGAGCTTGCGCATCTGTCTATATATACACACACACATCTGTGCATATGTGTCTTCTGTGTATTTATGTGTACATTCCTGTGCTCAATCGGCTTTCACCTTTTGCCCATAAAATAGAGTCAATCCACTTTACAACTTTACAATATATTCTACATGAAGCGCTTTGAGACGACTCAACGACGTGATTAGGCGCTATAGCAAATGGAAGGATTGTTAGTGTCTTTGTCCGGGAGTGCTCTGAGACGCTGCTCCATGTGAAGGGAGCTATACGAATAAAAGTTATTGTTGTTGTTGTGTGCCACATGCATTTTAACAAGTGTGAGAATCCTATTTGCTTCAGATTGGACAGCACCCTTGTTGGGATGGTGCTTAAGCTTCTCCGACGGTTAGAGGCTATTGAAGCGAACGCTGGTTGCGGACGTTAAAACCAACTCAGACTCTCAGATGACTTACAGAAAACGAAGCCCCGATTGGTCTCCGGATCCATTTGGGTGGCTTCTTCAAAGGAAGAACCACGCTAGCCTGACCCGCCTTGTGTGGCACATCCAGCGGAGGGAGCGACTGTCCAGTGCCAAATGGGTCCAGGTTATTGAATGAGGATGAAATCTAAAAAAAGACAAAAATTAAACAGGGTAACTTCAAGTCCAGCACCCTCCTGCCTGCCTTATAATTTGAGTAGCTGTTAAAGAAACAGTTTCCATTTCTGCTGCCCCACATGAAGGGTGCTATATAAGTGCAAGTTGTATATATTCTGTGAAGCGCTTTGAGATGCCTCAACATTGTGATATGGCTCTATGTGAAGTGCAAGGATTAATATTGGAGGTAATAATCCCATTGAGAAAACAATAATTTGGTCACTCAATCTACAACTGTTTGTGGGACACTGCTGTGCGCAATTGGCTGACGCGTTTCGCCCACAAAATATAGTCAATTCACTTTACAGTATAATTTGTGAAGCCCTTTGAGACGTCTGGAAGACGTGATAAGGCGCTATATGAAGGGTAAGGATTATTATTATCCTCCTATTACAGTGCGAGGCCTGACGGCTTCACTTACCTTCTCAATGTGGCTTTGTTTCTGTGCGGCCAGGCTCCCTCCCATGACAGAGTAAACACTGATCCGTCCGTCGAAGGAAGCGGCCGAGAGAACAGCTGGATTTCGAGGGCACCACTGCACGTCAAAGCACCACTGGTTGCTCGTCGGCAGCTCGTAAACCACCTGTAATTGATTGCCAGCAACACTTAACATCAACACGAAGCTTAGATTTCAGTTTGAAGCTGTTTGGTAAATACATTCGCCTATAAGTACACGGTCTTTACACTCGACTTTAAATCCTGCAGAATAGCTTTGAGATGGTTTGACAACATGATAAGGCACTGTATCAAATGCCGGGATGATTATCAAACACATCTACTGTGCTTATACTCCAATGCTTCCATCCAATCAAAACACACGAGTGAAGCCAGGCTACCGTCACTTTGAAGTCTCATTAACAGGCTGACTGCACAGAAGGCCAATCCGCACTTAAAATGCATCCTGAGTTATTAAACTAAGATGATTTATTTCTCCTTCAATTTTCTCCACCCGCAATCACATTCATTTTTTTTCAACTCAATTGTGGGTTATAGTTTTACAGTGGCCTCAAGTACCTCATCTAAGGGGCCATTAGTCATGCTCAAGGTTTGAAGTAACTGCCAGCAGGTGATTCAACCACAAAGGGCAATGTGGATCCTGTGCTCACCACATCTACACAAGCATACACGCAGAGCTTCCAGCAGACCAATAGCAGACTAACTACCCAAAAGGGATTGGCAGGTAACATGGGGACGCCGATTTATGGTGGTGGTGGGGGGGGGATGCTGATTTGTGGGAGGTACCGTCTCGTCGGTTTGAGGTGGGGTTTTGGCGAGATGCCAAAAAAACATAAACCATCAGTGCAATTGTCTTTGTCGGGGCTTAAATAGAACTTGTGAAGCAGACTGCACGGGGTGGGTAAGCATCGGGAGCCATTCGTTGGGGCTCTCTGGAAATCTCAGAGTTTCCTGCATCACCAACCCAACCCTGTAGCCGACAGCAACCAGGACCTTTGACTGATCTAAGGCGCCCTTAACCCTGGGGATGCAAGGCTGATTTTAGAACCCATCTGATTCTACCTCAGTTGAGATCGGCTAACTCAGCACAGATGGGAAATGTAAGTTCCTGGTACGTATGGCCCAATGCTGCAGTGGCCTATATCCACTTGACCATCAAATGAGCCTAAAATGCAATTCCCAACTCCCAGCTATTGTTATGAATCAGGACGAGATTGCAGATCTAGAATGGCGTGTGACCCACCTCTCCGGTGTTGGGATTCCAGCACAGGATTCGATTATCCTTTGCACTGCTCAACAGCAGCTCTGCGTCAGCTTGGCACCATGATATGGACAGGATACCTCTGAACAACAAAACGACAGATTCATAAGCAGACGCACGTGCAAACTACATTTCGGTTCCTCTGAACAATACTTCAATCTTCATGGAAGAGACTGCGGGATAATCAATCCACGACTATTTGTGGGACAATGGTGTGCGTAATTCGCTGTATTGACTGTATTTACAACAACGACTTGCACTTGTATAGTGCCCTCTATGCAGGGTAGCATCTCAGAGCGCTTAAACTAACAACTGGGTTGCTAAATACTGCTCGGTAAACAGAGGAGTGCAGTAAGAAAACTTGCCTAAGGTTTTACCCCGACCAGGAATAGAAGCCGGGCCCTCTCGCTTGCGAAGCTACTGCGCTAACCACTACACAACGGGACCTCTCATGGGACTTGTTACCAGAAGCCACCAAATCACAGAAGATTTACAGCGTAGAAGGTGGCCATTTGGCCTACTGTTTCAATAACAATTCTACTGTGCTCTTAACTTTGATGACTATTGCAATTAAGTCCAGCAGCAGAGTAAGAAATCAAGAAAGCAAAGATTAAGTCCCACACATGTGCTGAATACCTGTGGTGGCTCTCCAGCATTTTGAGAGGTGACGTAGCGAATCGCAGGTCCCAGATCTGTAATACTGGCATCCGGTCATCCTCGGATGCAAGCACCAGTTGAGTTGCAACCTCGGGGTTCCAGGCCATTCCAGAGCAACGCATCTGAAAACAGACAAGCAAAGACACGCTTGCTATTTTTCCTTCGTATCTTTCAGCACAACCCAGGTTCCAGGGATATAATGGACAATGCGCTAACCCACTTTCGGCCACTTCCAGTTCTCCCCAAAAAAATGATATTCTTTGACAAACATATCTTTTACTTCTTAAACGTTCACCAAGCGAAGGCCAAAAATTAGTGAGAAAATATCATGTAAATTGTGCGTCAACAATCTTCCACATAAATTGTGGAATGGTTATGAGACCTTGCTGCACGCAAAATGGGAGCAAATGTTTCCTACAAAAATAAGTCAGTCACTACACTTTTGGTAACTGCTAATAATACTCCCAAGCTCAGTTGTTGTCTGTTTTTAATAAGAAAAATAAACCAAAAATAAACTCGCCCCATTATAAGTCAGCGTCTGATTTCACGGAGCTAAGCCACTGTGTTATAACAGGGTTTGACTGTAATAAGGTTACACTCACCCTGTTGCTGTGGTCGCTGACTTTGATGATGGGTTCGTTCTTCCTGAGGTCCCACACCACAGCTCTGCCGCTCGGATGTGCAGACGCCAGAATGTGCTGCACCTGGCGATTCCAGGCCACACAGCTGATGTCTTCAGATGGCTGCACCAATTCAAAAGAAGAGATAGTCACGTTTCCGCTAAGGAAAGCTCGAGAAGATGATTTGCGATTGATCCTTCACTGCTGATTTGCAATGAGGTAATTCAATACTTTATAGAAATGTTCAGCACAGGCTACCATTCAGGCCACTCCGTCTGTGCCATTTGCTTTGAAGTCCCACACAGGCAACTGTTATGAATAGTTCCCCCACCCAGGCACGGGTAAGATTTGGCAATTATAACCCTAGCTATTGAGTGTTCTTTAGGAAATCTCGATCACAAGGTACTGCGGTGTAGTGGAGCAGGAACATGGACCTAGTCAGTGTTAATCTCAGACCACAATTCATTCTTCCCAGCAGCAATACGAGGGAGGGAGAAAGAGAGTAAAATAAATTGAAAGTAGATCATTTTCAGGAATTCAGATGGGGACAAGATCAGCACCTCCAGAAGACCCAAGACTGAAACCTAGTCTGCAATGACGTACTCAACTGACAAGGCAAGATTGTCAGGAATGAAGAGTTTCTTCACCGACTTCAAGGTCCATCTCAAGACCTTCCTCTTTGAGCAAACCTTAGGTCATTTCTTCCCCCGAACCCACCCCTCCTGAATCCAACCCAAGCTTGGGTGAAAATCCTCGACTGTCCAGCACCTTGGAATGTCCACCCGATGTGAAAGACTCTATATAAATGGAAACAGTGTACTTGTTTACTGACAAGCTTCTCCTTTTTGGTTTATAATCACAATAAATAGTATTCAAATGAAGTTGAATGGATTGTGGTCAGTAACTGGCTAACCTTTTGGGCCTACAGATGAGTACTTTAGAACTGTATTATAAGGCATTTGATGGAGGCTATAAAATGTCAACCCGCCTGATAATGGGGTGATTAAGAGCTGCCAGCCCTGCACATACTCGCAGAATGCCAGGGGGTCGGTTTCCGGGTCATCGCTGATGCACATTAACAGCAATGATGTGGGCAGTGATTTGCCGACCAGGAAGTTGCCCANTTTTTAGTGCCGGAAGCCAGCTGGCTTGCACACCAAAAACACCAGGTTCACAGGGCACCAATCTTGTAAGCTTAACCAGCTTTATAAGGAGACGTTTCCTAAATTCTACGTTTCTCTCATGCAAGCCAGACACTATTAAGTCTTTCAGGCGTGCTGCAATTCAATCCAAAAACTGCATGCAGCAAAGAAAGGAATTGTTCTAGCAACTGTTTGTCATGAATCGATCAGTTCCGTCACAGGCTCCAGCGCCTTGGGAAGTCCTCCCGACGTGAAAGGCGCTATACCAAGGTAATTTTGTATCATATTGTCCTCTCCAGAAGTATTTTCTCTGCAAGTTTATATTTTTTCAAAACCAATATTTTTTCTTGCGCTCAAGGTGAGTTACGTCAGCAGTAAGGAGCAGAACCTTCTCCACACTGGCCCCTGGGAGTCAGCTGTGCAACAAGAGGTGCAGATATACAGGCACAGATCACCACATGCAGAGAAAAGTTTTTGATTAACAAGGTGACTAAACCTCATCTCAGAATATGCTCCACCATCTCCATTCCACCAGCGTGACAACAAATAGGGGAAATTACAGGTTAAAGATGATGCATTAACCTGTGGTGCCACCCAACCCCAACTAAGTTTTGCCTCCAAACCTCATAATGGGTAGGTCACGTAACTCATCTGGTATTTCAATTCTGGTAACCCAATCGTCTTCTTCACAGCTCCTTTCTCTACAAATGGCATTTATTTTGCCTTCAGCCACAATGCACACTTTCTTTCAAATTCTCCCAAAATTCCTTCACCTTGTACCTTCTCGGTTTCCTTCCAAAACATCTCTTAAGACTGCAGTTTCGGTCAAGACACAAAGCCTTCCCACTCCTGTTCTCCCTGCTCAGTGAATCCCATCTGGATCAAGCACTGTGAGACATTTGTCCAATGTGAAAGGTACTATAATAATAATGGTAAAAATCCTTGCATTTTATATAGCACCTTGTCATATCGTTCAGATGGATCAAAGTGCTTCACAGAATATACTGTAAAGTGAATTGACTGCATATTTTGTGGGAGAAATGCGGCAAGCAATTGTGCATAGCATTGTCCCACAAACACTGCTGGACTGAGTGACCAAATTATTATTTTATTAAGGGATTATTACATCCGGAAAGCGATCCACCAACTGACCAGCAACCGGGTTCCAACTTACTGCTAGGTAAACAGAGGCGTGTGAAAGAAGGGAATCAAAACCAGATCCTCTTGCTTTCAAGGCGAGTGCCCTAAATAATACTCTAAAGGACTACGTACGTGTAGAGAAACTGGAGCTGCAGAGGAAACGAGGAAGGGTGAGGAAAGAGCCAAGCTGGTGCAATTGGAGAACACTTGCAACATGAAGGCTGTGGACAAACTCCAGACATCGTGCGGAGTACAAAATGAGAGATCAAAGAGGAAAGAAACAAGACAGACAGACAGTGATGCTACATTCCGACATTATACCTGGAGAATGTACTTTGAACCTTACCTCTCTCTGCTGGGAATGGGAAGAGAGCGCAAAAAGAGAGAGCAAAATACTAGCATTATGACAAGCACTCAGATCGCAACAAAAGCATGTGTTTTGGTACAACATACATTTGTACAGAGACATTTCAAAGAATACACACAACTTCTTTGAACAATTTGGACAAATATTTGAAGCTCGCAAAAATCCCCTTTTGTAATAAAGAATGCAACAAATTTTACTGTCTTGATTTAAATTCTTTCACATGTGGAACAATTCATATTCTAGATGCATTTGCCACCAATACAAACTATAAAAAACTTATTCTTTAATATGCCAGGTTATCATATCTTAACAATATATAGGGTCAGGAGGGGAGAATTTTTTTGAGATGGGAAAGGGAGTGGGTATTAAGTGTGTAGATTACACTCGGCAACTTTTCACCTCCCCTAACCACACCTCGTAAATAACCTCCAGAGTTATAATAAAAAATAATCCTTGCATTTTGATATCACACTTTTCACAGCTTCTAGTTGTCCCAAAGCGCTTCACAGAATATACTGTAAAGTGAGTTGACTGTATATTTGTGGGCGAAACACAGCATCCAGTCGCGCACAGCAGTCTCCCACAAACAGTCATGCATTGAATGACCAAGTTATTATTGCTTCTTTTTGAGGGATTATTATCAGGCGTGTGGAGTAAGGAAACTTGCCCAAGGTTTCGCCCTGCCGGGAATCGAGCCCAGGTCTCTCACTTGCAAGGCAAGTGGTCTAACCACTGAGCTGCAAGACTCCCCTCCCTCCGCTGAGTTGCAGTCTTTGTTAAATTACAATACAACTTTGATTTATAGAGCACCTTTCACATCGGGAGGAAGCCTCAAAGGGTTTCACGTGGGCTGAGGAGAATGAGGGGTTAGGAGAGGTGGTCTCCAAGTTGTAGATACTTGGATACCACTTACCTGAGATTTTGCTCCTGGTGTCATTGGCGTGCTGAAGTTATTTAAATCCCAGATATATATCTCAGAATCACTCGCTCCAGAAGCCATCAGGTTATTCTAAAGTAAAATATTGAAGAGGAAGAAAAAAATAAGTAAGATAAAATTTCCAAAGCGTAAACATTGAAATGTTGTCAGAGTATTTGTAACATTAAAACCAGTCAACATTTGAGCCAGTCGGACTTGATTAATTAGACCTTTATTCTCCCTGAGCTTTGATGCATGACCAGGGCTTCTGCAAATCAAAAGTGCCCACGTGGAATTAACTCATAGAAACAGTCTTGTTAATAACTTGGCAAATTCATGCCAATATAGCACTCGTTTTGGAACAAAGCTGGTTGTCACAAACCCAAAAGGATGGATTGTACAGGACAATCTACACAGAAAATGCTGTATAATAATGGGGCAGAGATAGTTGAAATGCGTATGGATGTATTTATTTTCAGTTACACAGGAGGAATTTAGAGCTGCAGATATTCATTTAGGATATAAAAGGGGATGGGAGAGGTTGAGACTTGTATAGAGTATAAACACCAGCACGGATTAGTTGGGATGAATGGCCTGTTTCCGTGCTGTAACATTCAAAGTATTTATATATTAATAGGAAATAAATAATTGAGTGCAGGTAGTAAATACTTTGGGATTTTGAAACTCCGTTCACTTAACAATTGTCACTTAATGAACCCTTGGTCGAATGGCAGATTGCTTTCCTGGGGTAATAAGCCCTCCCTGCAAAAAATCATCACTCAATCCATGACTGCTGTGCACATTTGGCTGCCACATTTCGCCTAGAAATACAGTCAATTCACTTTACAATATAAGACCATAAGACGTAGAAGCCATTCGGCCGCTCGAGTCTGCGCCGCCATTTAATAAGATCATGGCTGATCTTCTAACTTAATTCCATTTACCCGCCCTATCCCCATAACCCTTAATCCCTCTAGCCTTTAGAATATATTCTGTGAAGCAATTTGAGATGTCTCAACTACATGATAAGACACTATATCAAATGCAAGGATTATTTTTCTAAGTATCGACTGAAACAGAGCGACAATTAATAAGAGCAGATCCAAGGGCTTGGCGGCTTGTTACCTGGAAGGGATTGAAATCCAATGCTCGGACCGGGCCTGTGTGCTTCTCGCTCTGTCCCACGATGGGATCACTTCCTGATGCCAGGATCTGCTCTGCATTGTAAAGCGTGACGGTACCAGTGTCTCCACCTGCTGCTATGACTCCGTCGGAGCCGACATCATGGTTGCTCCAGATCAGTTTGTGAAATCTGCAACATTATGGCAAAGTGAACTCTTGTTTGAAATGCACACCTTTCAATCTAAAATAATGCAACAAAGAACCATGAAGTGATCAGGCAGGGTGAGCCTATGTCGCAGCTAACCATGGTGCAGTACACACACACACTGTTAAAACACAGGGAAAACCCGCTGAAACGACAGCAAGATTCCCTCTGTAATGTAGTGACTAAAGGCATCAGATTCACCACTAAGCCATACAGACCGACCCTAAATCCTGATCTATGCTGAGTTAGCAGACATCAGCCAGCAACAGTTGGGCATTACAATTGGTTGTACAGCCACTAAGGTAGGGAGGAAAGAATCAAGCGAAAACCCAGCAGACATCCACTGTGAAAAAAAAATTACTGGAGGTAAATATTTTTATTACAGGTTTAGCGACTCTTCAGTTGCTTAGCAGGGCCCTTCACTCCCTGGCACCGACCTATCTTTCCGACCTGCTTTCTCCTCAATCCCTGCTGCCTCCATTCGGCTGGCTCTGGCCTTCTGCTTATCCCTCGCCCCCACCGCTCCCCACCATCGACGGCTACACTTTCAGGCACCACGTCCTGAAGCTTTTGAACTCTGTCCCCCAGTCCCTCTCCACTTTTAGATCACAACTGAAGAATTCCTCTTTGACCATGCTTATGGTCACCTCCTCCCTTCACCCAGCTCAGCGTCAGGCTCCGCCACTGTTAAGCGCTCCGAGACGCTCAATATAAATGCAAATTGTTTTGGATTTTTTTGGCATAACAAAGGAGATACACGTCAGGATTTACACTTAGGCATTCGGGCAAAATGGTCAAGCACCTACCTGCTAGTAGCAGGCAGAGACCCTCGTAGTTTTGTATCTAAAGAAGGCTCAGAAAAGTCCAATTCAAAGATCTCCAGCGCCGCATTTGTGCTGAAGGTGGCGTCCAGTTGTTGTGCTGAGGTACCTGCGGTGCAGAAGAAGCAAGATGTCACACACAGCACCAACCATTTCCAGGCTGACGTGGAAAATCTTACAAACAATATTGGAAAATCGTCAAAAAGCTGAAAATTTAAAACGAAGAAACAGCGCCTCATCTGGCGGAGATCCTTGGCTACTTTTTCAAGATCAATCCGACCAGATTCAAACTGCAATAATCACATGCCTTTGAAATGAGAGAGCGTAGCAATTTATGGGTTGGGAAATACATTTCCCTGTGAGAAGTACGTGGTATTTCAGAAAGTCACTGAAGCGTGTTGTACTGAGCTCAGTGACAGATGCCCCCAGTGCCAATGGAGCATCCTGCCAAAATCTGGTGCTTGACCAAATGCTTCACTGCCCTGTAGATGCTGTACAAGTCAACAACTCGTGCAACCCACAGGGCATGTGATATTCAACATCAGCACGAGAGAAAAGCCATCTCAAAGTGAATGGTCTGCGGATTTGATGTGGCACAAGATCTGTGCAGGTGCAACTCGTAAAGATGCCCAGAAATCACTCACATGGAACGTAAAGAAAAGCCATATGACCCATGGAAACCCATCCATTTTGTACGGGGTGTTCGTAAAGTCCTGTTACCCAGATATGTTGTTTTTTTCTACAGTGCACTGACAAACAGCATGAAATATGTGGAAGAATGATGATAATTGTATTCAAAAGTACTTAATTGCATTCAGTACAAGTGGGTCCAGAGGATGGGTTTGAGCGCCATCATTTTCATGCCAGACAATGGTCCTTATTTAGCAGAATATTTACACCTTTGAGTACAACAGTTTTCAAGTTCAAAATGTGCTCTGTCACTTCTATGATTTCTGATCCTACTTTTTTGTCTCATTTTGAAGTAATAATCTGTTATTGTAAGGATATCTTTATTTATTTCTAAATTATCATCCATTTTTCAATTAAGTCATTAATTTAGGTCTTATCTGCCATATGATTCTGGTGAAGGGAAGACCCACACTGAACTTATATCAAATAAAAATGAAATTTTCCTCCTCGTTTTCTTGACTTACATGCCCCCGTTGCAAAAATTGTAATGATCCTTATGGTTGTTTCTGCTGCAAATTAGTTGCCATATTTGCCTCTGAAACATTCATGGCATCTACACAACTTCATTCTGCAGACCGTTTGGAGACCATTCTTTGACATGAAAGGCACATAACGTACTCTTGCAATAGAGGTGAATTCCATTCTATTTCACTTGCTGCATTTTGTTTGGTCTGACATGCATATAAACCCACTGCCACGCCGCATTGGAAGTCACCACAGAAGAAAGGCTCTTTTAACAATTTCACAAGAGCACAGATTTATTTACTGAGTGTCACCACTGCATTACAAGCTATAATAATCCTTACATTTGACACAGTGCCTTATTATGTTGTTCAGACGTCTCAAAGCACTTCACAGAATATATTGCAAAGTGAATTAACTATATTCTGTTGACAAAATGCAGCAGCCAATTACTAACAACAGTGTCCCACAAACAGTCGTGGATTGAGCGACTAAATTATTGTTTTGAAGGGATTATTACCCCTGGAAAGTGATCCGCCAATTAACTAAACAGAGGCACGCGGAGTAAGGAAACTTGCCTAATATTTCTCACAACTCCCGCCCATGGAATCGAACCCGGGTGCTTTAACCAATATGCTATAGGACTCCACTGAGCTGCATGTTCCTGCTCTTTGGAAAACAAATCTCATAGGAAACCAGGAATGTTCCCCTCCCCACAAAACCCATACATGACCAACACATGTTCTTAAATGGAAACCCTAACTGTGTCTATTATTAGAACCTAACATACAGAGCTCGGCTCAAAGACGCGCTTCAATGTAAGGTTACCTGTGGCCAAATATAGGGGATGGTGGGAAGCAGGGCTCCAGGACTGAATGGCCGTCCTCTCAATCTGCTTCAACTTCATTTTGCCTTCTTGATCTGAAATGCAAAGTCAACGTTGAAAAGAAAACACCAACTTTCTTCTCGTTCGGGTCATACAATCCAATCCGAAAAGGTAATTGTATACTGTTAGGAGTCTGTTAGGTTGTGTGGAATCCGTACCATCCAGATCATCAATGAAATGATCAATATCCACAAAATACACAATCACACCACTTTACAGTACATCCTGTGAAGTGCTTTGAAACGCCTCAACAACGTGATAAGGCGCTATATCAAATGCAGGGATTATTAAAACACTCTGCGTCACTGAATGGAAGGATGCAGGAATTCACCCTTAACTTTCCCGCAAGCATTATTAGATCATGATCGAAGCATTGGGATGAAACCAACGGACAGGAAGACCCATGTTCAATCCTGTTATGTGCTGAGATAGCAATCTCAGCCTGGGCAGCAATAGGGTTGCACAATTGGCCTCAGGATCTTCCTAAATCCCTGTGCCTCACATCCAACTCCTCTGCCTTTGAAAACCTTCCAAAAACATATACACTTTGGGCTGTACCTTCTGTCATTGCCTCATATCTTCATATCCCCTATTCTGTTTGACTCTCATGCTATCTATCCTTTGGGACATGTTTTCCTGGGAAAACCCTGTATAAAGTGCAAATGTCTGTTGTTGTTACTGGGGTGAACTTATGCTTTTCCTAGTGGGTAAATGAGAGAAGATTCCACCCCTTTCACCTCCAATTACCTCTGTAGAAAAGGATGAAATAATTCCTTCGAATCACCCCACCACAATTGTGCTCTGATTTAAGCAGACAGCACAAGCTAATAAATAATTTGATTCGCCATAGGAATATCTGGGATGAAGGGGCTGAAACTGGGAGGTTATATGAGGCTCAGGCACAAGGGGCTTCTTTTTGGGGGTGTGTGTGGCGTGAGGAGGCTGGGGGGCTGGGGGGAGGAGGCTGCGGGGGGTGTGAGGAGGCTGGGGGGGGGTGAGGAGGCTGGGGGGCTGGGGGGAGGAGGCTGCGGGGGGTGTGAGGAGGCTGGGGGGTGGTGAGGAGGCTGGGGGGCTGGGGGGAGGAGGCTGCGGGGGGTGTGAGGAGGCTGGGGGTGGGGGGGGTGAGGAGGCTGGGGGGTGGGGGTGTGAGGAGGCTGGGGGGTGGGGGTGTGAGGAGGCTGGGGGGTGGGGGGGTGTGAGGAGGCTGGGGGGTGGGGGGGGTGAGGAGGCTGGGGGGTGGGGGGTGTGAGGAGGCTGGGGGGTGGGGGGTGTGAGGAGGCTGGGGGGTGGGGGGTGTGAGGAGGCTGGGGGGGTGGGGGGGTGTGAGGAGGCTGGGGGGTGGGGGGTGTGAGGAGGCTGGGGGTGGGGGTGTGAGGAGGCTGGGGGTGGGGGGGTGAGGAGGCTGGGGGGTGGGGGGGGTGAGGAGGCTGGGGGGTGGGGGGGGGTGAGGAGGCTGGGGGGTGGGGGGTGTGAGGAGGCTGGGGGGTGGGGGGGTTAGGGTTAGGGGGGCTGGGAGGAGCGGAGGTGGGGGTGGGGAGGCTGGGGGGGGGCTGGGGAGGCTGTGCGGGGCTGGGGGGGGGGGCTGGGGAGGCTGTGGGGGCTGGGAGGGGGGAGGAGGTGGGGGTGGGGAGGCTGTGGGAGGGGAGGCTGTGGGGGCTGGGAGGAGGTGGGGGTGGGGAGGCTGTGGGAGGGAGGCTGTGGGGGGGAGGAGGTGGGGGTGGGGAGGCTGTGGGAGGGGAGGCTGTGGGGGGAGGAGGTGGGGGTGGGGAGGCTGTGGGAGGGGAGGGTGGGGGTGGGGAGGTGGGGAAGGGAGGCTGGGAGGGGGGGAGGAGGTGGGGTGGGAGGCTGTGGGGGGAGGAGGTGGGTGGGGAGGCTGTGGGAGGCTGGGAGGGGGGGAGGAGGTGGGGGTGGGGAGGCTGTGGGAGGGGAGGCTGTGGGGGGAGGAGGTGGGGGTGGGGAGGCTGTGGGAGGGAGGAGGTGGGGGTGGGGAGGCTGTGGGAGGGGAGGCTGTGGGGGGGAGGAGGTGGGGGTGGGGAGGCTGTGGGAGGGGAGGCTGTGGGGGGCTGGGAGGAGGGGAGGCTGTGGGGGCTGGGAGGAGGGGAGGCTGTGGGGGGCTGGGAGGAGGGGAGGCTGTGGGGGGCTGGGAGGGGGGAGGCTGTGGGGGCTGGGAGGGGGGGAGGAGGTGGGGGTGGGGAGGCTGTGGGAGGGGAGGCTGTGGGGGCTGGGAGGAGGGGAGGCTGTGGGGGCTGGGAGGGGGGGAGGCTGTGGGGGCTGGGAGGGGGGGAGGAGGTGGGGGTGGGGAGGCTGTGGGGGCTGTGGGGGGCTGGGGGGGGGGGGAGGTGGGGGTGGGGAGGCTGTGGGAGGGGGGGAGGCTGTGGGGGGTTGGGAGGGGGGGAGGAGGTGGGGGTGGGGAGGCTGAGGCTCGGGTCGGGGCCTCTCTTTACTCAGGGGTGACTCTGGAGGGAAGTCAGAGCCTCGCTCCCGGGCCCCGCGCAGGTCACCTCCTCCAGCCCGGGCTGCAGGCGGCAATGGCCCGGACCAGTGCTGCTGCTTACCTGGTGAGAGTGAGTGAGTGAGTGAGCCCCGGGGTTGGCGGACGGGCGGCCTGAGGGCTCTCGCTGAGGCCGGGCTCCCTGGTGCTCGGCTCCCGAGTCCCGCAGCGGCCGCGACGTGGCTGCACCATGTGATCGACCGACGTCAGCTCGTCCGCCATCTTGGTAAAGGAGGGCACTGAGTCGGCCACTGGGACACAGTACTCCAGCGCCATCTTGGTAAAGAAAGAGGGAGTTGTCATAACCCAAGGGTGAACTTTCAAATGAAGCCTCCATTCCCACCAAAGGAGGCCTGTCCAACCCCCCCCCCGACTGTCCAGGGCCCCTGAACACTATGCACGTGTAATTTGTTGTTGTTGTCGTCGTCATTGATTGGGCTAACCGCCTGCTTGTCCGACTTCCCACTCTTCTCTCCACAAACTGCAGATTATTCAGCTCAGCAGCTTGTGTCCTCTCCCGCACCAGGCTCCATGAATCCATCACCCCCATGCTCGCCCGGCTCCACTGGTTCCCCTATCTCCCTGAGGATTGAGTTCAAAATCCTCGTTCTCACTTTCAAAGCCCTACACAGCCATACTCCTCCCTACCTCTGTGACCTGCTAACCCCATACCAGCCTGTCCGCTCCCTCTGCTCTATGTCCCCTACCCTGACTGCCCATCATCGGCAGTTGCACCTTATGCTTTTCAGCCCCACCCTTTGGAACTCCATCCCAGTCCTTTCGCCTTGCTCCCTTTTATTATCTTTGCACTGTGAGTGTAAAATTAATAGGGAAAAAGTATAAATATATAAGCCTTAAGAAATAATGGAGGCTTCATTTGAGACTTTCCTCCGTCAACTTGCAGATTTTGTGACTCTGAAGACCCTGTTAAGGTAGTTTTTAATCCTATTTTAAATAAAAAGTAAGTTGGTCACTCAATTCATGACTTGTTTGTGGGACACTGCTGTACGTCATTGGCTGCCGTGTTTCACCGATAAAGTACAGTCAATCCTCTTTGAAGGATAATAATAATAATAATCCTTGATTTTTGATATAGCGCTTTTCACGTCGGGAGGACGTCCCAAAGCGCTTCACAGAACACTGTAAAGTGAATTGACTGTATATTTGTGGGCGAATGCGGCAGCCAATTGCGCACAGCAATGTCCCACAAACAGTCGTGGATTGAAAATGACCAATTTATTATTGTTTTTGGTTTTGGAGGGATTATTATTAGGCGTGTGGAGTAAGGAAACTTGCCCAAGGTTTCGCCATGCCTGGAATTGAACTCAGGTCTCTCGCTTGCAAAGCGAGTGCTCTAACCACTGAGCTACAGGACTCCATAAGGTAAGATGAAAGGTTCCTGGAACACAGTGACTCTTCTAGGATCTTGAAAAGGTCTTCACAAGGAAGACAATTGGTCAAGGTTCAATAATATAAGATGAAGTTAGACAGATTACTAACTACTAAAAACATTGCTATTTTAGCTGATCAACTTAAAATGACATCTTACTGTGGTTACAACAACAAAATTACATTTGTATAGCGCCTTTCACGTCAGGAGGACGTCCCAAAGCATGGATACTCTCCTTCCCCCGTCTTCTTCAGTCTTTCAAAAAAAAAGAAATACTTTTCATACTTTTCATAAATATGAGTGGTAATCACTTTATTAATACTCTGTTGCTTACTAGCTCATTGGGTCTTCTATCCACTGTGTAGAATACAAGGTCATTTATAATGTTAGTTGAACAATCCGAGTTCGCTGAAGAAAGCAAGTCAAATTTCGTAATGCTTCAAATCCTCTGGCTTCTGGTTGGCATCTCTTCCATACTCCAAGTGAAGGTTGTTGTAGGGGTACTGTTTGGGAGCCTGCAAAACAAATGAATCCAATGCATCAGTATCATGGGGCATTACTGAATATTACAAAAACATTTCATACACTGCGGATCTAAAAGTCAGGCAACATAATCTGAATTGTGGCAATCTGTAACAAGAATGATTAACACAAGTATTGATTCCTTCCAGTCACCAGAAGTACGCGACACACGGAATAGAATTCCCACAACGTACTTCTGGTTACTGGAAGATTTCCTTTGTGAGGTTTTTGAAAGTAGGGAGAGATGTCACAAAGCAAAGTAGTTGTGGGTGATGGTTCAAAGGGACAAAGATGACTGAAAGCTCAGCTTCCAATAGCAAAGTGGAGGAAGTGAGATTTAGCGGGAACTGGAATCAGAAGTGAAAGAAGATGCAGGCTGGAGAAGATTGCTGCTAGAAGGTAGATGAATTTGAAAAGGTGGATGACCATCTTGGAAACAAAAACTCCCATCACATGATCAAACTCAATAATTTCTCGAAGCTGATAAAGTCCTATATATCGTATCTATAAAGCTTAGAAAACATGGACAATTTCCATTTAAGATGTTACAAGGAAGTTATATTCTTTTAACAGGGTATTAAAAAGAGGAGAAAAGGTTAACAGGTTACAAATCTGCAATTTAAAACTTACCACCGGCTGGTATGAAGGGCACACCTCCCCAAACCAGAACATGAACAGCATAAAGCCCATGAAGAGACCCAAGTGCTTAACCATAGTGTTCCAGTCCACTGGACTGGGTGAGGTGTCCACGCGATTCCTAATGAACATGTCAAAGTCCCAGTGCATCTGGTAACAAAAGGAAAAGAAAGGTGTTGATGGTAAATCTATGGAACAAGCTCCTTACAGAGACAATGGAAGCAAAAAGTGTCAATTCTTTCAAATGCAAATTAGATTTCTTTTAGGAAATAATATTTTTGGATACAGTACATGAGTAGTTCAAGATACGACACGTGCATGCAACTGCCAGGATGGTGGAAGACGAATTGTATGGACCTTGGTCTTTTGCCATCTATCGTTTCCTATGCTCCTATGAGTTTCACAACACAGAATACAAAGCCCTGGCTTGAGAGAAGTTTGCTGATATTGATGCTAAATGGCACTAAAATTGGTCTGAGTGTTAGTGAGGAGGCATATCAGCTAGAATACCCGCTTCTGATTTCTTACCGGTATCCTGCTGGAGTGTAGACAGGATCAAGCTCAGTCTGGTTGACCAATGTTGACTATCAAGGCTTGAAAATGGTCTCTTAGATGAGCTACTAGCGAGTGTCCATGAAACAATAGCACTATACTCCCTTATTCATACATGAGGGAGGAGGGAATACAGGGTACATATAGGAGAGGGGAATAGCAGGAGTGGAAGCTCGTGTGGAGTATAAACACTGGCACTGACTGCCTGGGACAAATAACTTGTTTCCATGCCATATAACTCTATGCAACAGTAGCAGGAAAGAGAGGAAGGGAGAGAGAAATAAAAGGATAAGCAGTATTAATGTTTGAGACAGGGATCAGAAACTTGAAAAGTTAATTGTAGGCAAATTCCCTTAAACCACTGAGAAATGTTATTGTTTGCCTGGTGTTATGACGCACAAATAAACCAAAAGTATACTGGAAGAACTAAACCTGGAGGAGGATTTGACTATTCACCAAATATGGGCTCCATAATCTTAGCCAACATTATCAATTTTAACCTACGTCAACAACGACTTGAATTTATATCGCACCCGAGGTAGTGGTTTCGAACAGTGGTAGAACTAGCTGAATGAAGGGAGCGGGTAGAGGAATGGGGTGAAAGCAGGTCAGAGAGGTAGGGAGGTGCTAGGGCACTTAATACTGTAAACACGCAGACAGTTCAGATATTCTACTGGAGAAACAGATGATCCTAGGTGATTGACTGATAAAATGGGACACTGAATCCCAAGACTTTGAGCATTGCTGCTTACCGGCTCACCCCAGTTCCTGCGCAGATCAGGTGCATCCCACTTATACCATGGATCTCGTTCTTGTTGCGATCTATCTGATAGTTTGGGATAATCACCAAATCTGTTAAGAGGGAAATAAAGGTTTAAATTTCCAAACCACTACTATTTGCTTTGCTTTACTGTCAGACCCTTGCCCAGAAGAAGCTTCAAAACTGGTAAGTCTGGGACCTACAGCACCTTAGATTGCCAACTCATTCGCAGGACTTGGGAGCAGTAAACAGTGGGGATTCTACCCACTCAGCTCCTTCTAAGCCTGCAAATCAAAGCCCCAACACACACTCAGTTTTACTTGAATTTATGTAACACACTTCTATTTAAACATGATGCATATAGAAATTTGGGGAGACCAATGAGAGAGTACTTTGTTCATCAACAGAGCTAAAGTCAGACACAGTTCTACTAACACTCTGAATTTTTTATGACAGACATTGTAGTACATTTTGAATATCCTTTGTATCTTTTTTCGGAAGCAAACTCCCTCACCCCATTCCATCATCGGGGTACGGCTCATAATCCTCCACTCTCATGTTGTACTTCTTGGCTGCTACTGCCCGTTCTTCAGGTGTTCTGGGATATGGGCCTGGCAACATGTCTTCAGAAAGCCCAGAGGCTGCAAAGCAGAAGCAAACACGTTCCATCAACAGAGTACCCTTATGGCCCAGAATAAAGACATCACAAATCACAATCTCATTGGTTTGAATCACAATCTCACCTGGGGAACCAGTCCAGATCAGAATTAGCCCCAGTTCCCCATGATGGGGTGGGGGGGGGGGGGGACAGCGGAAATCAATAATTGTGAAGTGTTTTGAGACAACCTACTGGCACGAAAGGCGCAGTATCAATGTAAGGATGATTATTATTATTATTATTATATCCACCTTATTGGGCAAGGTACCCAATAGCAGAGGGACCTGCATCCAGAAAACAATCAGGGCATTCAGGAGAGGGGTTTAGTGGAGGACATTGGAGAGGGCAGTAAATGTAAAGTGTCCTGATTTCCTGCCAGTGACAGGATGCAGCCCAGACAGCTCCATATCGGGCAAAGCCGTTGTCCCCACGAAATACAGTCGCCGCAGTTGGAGTATTTCAACGTGAAGCGCTTTGAGGCGCTCCGGGACACGACCCCGGCGTAGTGACTCTTTATAAAATGCAAGTTGTTGTTGTCGTCGTCTCGACGATGTGTGCAATTGGCTTCCGCCGCGTTCGCCCACAAATATACAATATACAGTCAATTCACTTTACAGTGTGTTCTGTGAAGCGCTTTGGGACGTCCCCCGACGTGAAAAGCGCTATATCAAACGCAAGGATTATTATTATTATTATCATTATAATTATTATTAAATGCAAAGGATTATCATCAGTGTCACCCCCTGGGCCTCCCTCCGGCCCTGACCCCGACCTCCAGTCCCCGGTTTCCAAGGTTACTTCCCCCCCTCCGGCACAAGTCACGGGCTGCCCCTCGTTCTCTTCCCGCTACGTCCACACTGATGTTACCCCGGGAACACTGACCTGCCCGGGCCTGACCATGGCTCACCGCCGACCGCAGGCCCCCGAACACCCGGCGCGCTAACGACCCGATCCAACGGCCATTCAACGCCATACCGGCCGCTGCGCAAGCGCACTACCGAGAAGGGGTGGGGGGGTGGGGGCGAAGTGGATGCGACGCACGCACGCGCGCGCGCGCCCCCCCCCCGTTCCCCCCGCAGAACGGAAGAGCCGCGGTCACGCGCGTGCGCAAAGCGCGCTGCAGCCGAGTGGAGGGCGGCACGGCGCAGGCGCACCGCGGAGCGTGGCTTGCTGCAGCGTCTTCCCGCCGGCAGGGGGCGAGCGGGGGGAGGAGGGAGGGGAGGGAAGGGAAGGGGGCGCTGTGGCGGGCAGGGCTGCCTCGGCCTCGGCCGGGCTGTGACCTGCCGGCGGCGCCCGCGCCTGTAGGCGGCGTTAACGTTGAGTTCGTCACCGGCCGCGACCTGGAACTGCGGAGGCAGAGAGACAGACAGACGGACGGACGGAGGGAGGGAGGGAGGGAGGGGGAGAGAGAGGGGAGGAGTGTTGTTTCCTTTGAGCAGTGGGGACGGGATCGCAGCGACGACGGCGGCGGCGGCTGAGCCATGGCTGAGCGGAGCGCGGAGGAGAGCCAGGGATGGAGCGAGGCCCAGCTGAGGAAATACAGCTTCCCCACACGGCCCATCCCCAGGATGTCCCACACCGACCCGCGGGCTGAGGTGCTGATAGACAACGAGGTAAAAAAAAAGAGAGAAGAGAGAGAGAGAGAGAGCTCCAGCCATCACAGCTCAGCCCGGGCTGTAATACTACTACTACTACTACTAATGATGATGATGATAATAATAATACTCCTTAGTAGCCAATTGCGCACAGCATTGGTCCCACAAACAGTCATGGATTGAGTGACCGAATGAATAAGTACAGCACAACACAGCACAGGGAGCTCGGGATGTGTAAACACAACACAGGAAACCTGGGGTGTACAACACAGCACACAATGATGATAATAATAATAATAATAATTATAATAATCCTTGCATTTGATATAGCGCCTTATCGTGTCTTTGAGAACGTCTCAAAGGGCTTCACGGAACACGCTGTGAAGTGGAACTGATGGTATGTTGTGCGGGAGGAACGCGGGGAGCCCTGTGTGTACGCTGTGCTGTGGCTGTGCAGCCCGGGTTACGTGCAGCAGAGATTTTCTTTTGTTCAACCTGGAGTCTTGAGGTGAAGAATGACTGAAACAGTGATACGTGTATGGGCATTGGGTGTGAGAAGGCAAAGTCTTGCTGCCCCAGAGCTGATACCTTTTTTTTTTGGTCAGCCCGGTGCCTGATACATGCGGAAAGCCATCACCGCGCTTAAGAGTATTCCAAACCAAAATGAGAATTCCATGCGTCCCACCTCGCAAGGAAGTTCCAGAGATAGATTGTTGGAATTCAATGTGCCCTCTCTCCCTGGAGGGATGCATCCTGCATGTGTAATTCAGGAAAGTTTTAAGTGCAGATTGGCAAGAACCAAGGCTCGGAGACCCCAGAGTGTGCTTTGGCGTATTGCTGAAGTCGATAACTATCTAAAACCGCATAGCTTGCCATTGAGAGCTCTTGTCTTATTACCTTATGCTCATTACCAGCTCTACCTGGAGAAACTGTGCTTAACTATTCTTTCTTCCATACTAGTATACTAGTATTTCATTTATATATCAGGTGGATGCGATAAGGCACTATATCTTGGTGTCTTGGCCAACAATCCCCGCAGATAAAATTAGTCATTCACTCTATGGGTTGTTTGTGTGACGTTGTTGTGAGTAAATTGGCTGCTGTGTTCACCTACAAAATAGACAGACACTCCACCTTGCAATAAATCCTGTGACTCGTTTTGAGATGTCCTCCTGACTTTAAAGGCATTATATGCAAGAATTATTATTCTTGCCGTTTCCTCTTCAGTGAGAGATAGATTGGTTGCAATGCAATCAGTGATGAGTTGTTTCGCTATGGCTGCTGATGCTGCTTCTATGGGTAGTTGCTGTGTTACTAAAGCTGATCCTTTTGGGGATTTGGTCAGGGTTGAGCCTCCCACCCTAATACCACGGGTTATGATTTACAAGAAAGAGGTTCTGAGTTAATTGGACAGAGCTGAATAATTTCTGTGGCTCTCTCCTGCCTCTGAGATGGAAAGTTCCTCTTCTATTTCTATCCAGTGACCTTGTTGATCATCTCATAGAGCACTTGGGCAGGCAATTTGCATTAGACAAGCAAAACTTCCGCTGCTCATATACTGACATGCTCTAAACTCCATACCACATCACACCAGTCCTCGCCCGGCTTCACTGGCTTCCTATCACAGAATGGATCAACTTCCAAGATCTCACACTCGTCAACAAATTCCTTCTTAGCCTGACATCTCTGTGAACTGCTTACTCCCCACTCCATCACCCATCGCCTCCACAGAGCTGGTTCTAACCTCCTGTTTGTCCCTTGTCCCCTCTTCTCCACCATCGGTGGCCGTGCATTCAGCCATTACGCTCTGAAACTTTGTAATTCTCTCCTTCAACTCCTCCGCCTTGTCCCCTCCTTCCCCATCTTCAAATCATGCCTGAAGATCTTCCTGTTTGACAGTGCTTATGCTCACTGTTAAGTGCTCCGAAACACTATCCCAGATGAAGGGAGTGATATAATGCAAGTTGTTATTGGTGGTATTATTGATACTTTTAACCTGCAGTTCAGAGCTCCTACTGCAGATAGAATTCAGTCCAGTGGGTCACAAACAGCAGGTGAAGGGAGAATTCAGGCTTATCTTTAGTCTCAAAAGAAAATGAGAGTGAGAAATGCTGAATCTTGTCTTAAAATCCCTGTTCCTTTCACAGTTACTGGCTGACAATGCATTTTAACGTGCTGCGTATGCTGCGTATAACAGCAGGCACAGAACTGATTCCACACGCTTGATATTAGACAAAAATAGGCCTCATGATCATATTGCGATGTTTACTTTTAGACTGGTGTATCGGAGAAAGACACATCTGCTTTCTCGTTTACAATATAAACCACTTGAGGGATTCAGTAACTGCTTCACAGTTTGTCGCAACATGTGGTATTTTTCTGTATATATTGTAAATACCTAGCAACCAAGTCATCGCATTTCCAGCAGGACAACTGAAATCCTCGACATGACTCTGGCTGACTGAGCCAGAAATGAACGGGGAGGTATGTAAATAATGGTGCATAATACTTTTCAGGCTTACTTTATGCCAGAGGGTTAAATGATTGAACAATTCTTGGCATGTGTTCTTGTATCCTGGCATCAGTTGAACGTATTCAGTTTCGTCTTGAGGTAGATTCGATAAACATGCAAGTCACTGACCAAACTTTAGGCAAATCTCGGCCGTTCAGTGCAATCCCTGATATATATATAGAAGTCTGCAGTGTTCCAGCAGGGAACAAGGTATGGTGTTCCCGTGTCAGTCACTTTCAATTCCTGGCACGCAAAGTGATGGAGCTAAGGGTTTGCATTATAAGTTGCTACTGTTTCTGTTAATACCTTTTCCTCTTCAAAAGAGCTTCAGAGCACGGGTAGAGTGACTAACTCCCCAGCACCTTGTGCTGCTCAGCTTTTTTACATGGGCAGTGTATGCATTGGCATTGCAGCTAACCTTTTTGGAAAGACTACAGTCCAAAGCTGCTTCTTTCTCATGACACTTCCCAGAAAATAGTGGGAGAAAAAATCTGTGTTTGTGTCCAATGAGTTGAGCTCCTGTTTATAGAGACGTGAGCCAAATGGTCGATAAGAACTTCTGCAAAGCAACAGAATTATGCAACAGAACATGGAGTCCTGTAGCTCAGTGGTTAGAGCACTCGCTTTGCAAGCGAGAGACCTGAGTTCAATTCCAGGCACAGGGCGAAACCTTGGGCAAGTTTCCTTACTCCACACAGAGCCTAATAATAATCCCTCCAAAACCAAAAACAATAATAAATTGGTCATTTTCAATCTACGACTGTTTGTGGGACATTGCTGTGCGCAATTGACTGCCGCGTTTGCCCACAAATATACAGTCAATTCACTTTACAGTGTGTTCTGTGAAGCGCTTTGGGACGTCCTCCCGACGTGAAAAGCGCTATATCAAATGCAAGGATTATTATTATTATTATGCAAGTTGTTGTTTTAATTTGAAACAATAATTTCTGTAGTTTTAACACAGCCTTTCCATGTGCTCTATGGATTTTTCCATAATCCCGTCTCTGAATACAATCCCATTGCTTTCGTTTGCTGGTGAGCAAGGGAAGGTGATAGGACAGCGGTGAATCTAATTTTTTTGCCAACACCCCATAGCTATAGAGAGGCCACGAACACTTAGAACAGCAGGTCTATCAAGGTGAAGAAGTGACGTAAACTTACAGCTGTATAGGATAACCACAGGGGCAGAATGATTTACTGGCTGGATCACTATAGTACCTCTAACTGCACAAACCACTTAAGTTTTACAGCCTCATGACCTTTTCCAACCCAGTCGTTTGATTTTCTATGAAATGTGTGCAGTGTATTTACAGTTATCGAATGCATAAAGCGTGCAGGCTGTGGATTGCTTCGACGCAGCTGTTTGCTGCAAGAATGTTCCCTTCCTTAGAAACTGTACATTTCTAGGTCAGAATGGGGCTCATAACTTTTCTGTTAGCGTCATTAATGATGCTGAATCTACAATACTTTGAGATGTTGACCGTGCTATTTGAGTAGAAATTGTTGTCATACGTGTGTTCATCTTTATTGCCAGTCACCACCAACTGCCTCAAAACATGTTGGAATCCAAAGTGGACAGTGCAGAGAGTGAGATTGATTTATTCCCAGCTTTTTGATGGTGCTGTAATAGTGCTGATTGAGACCAGTGGTGCCAATGCTAGGAAATTAATCAGTTTCCATTTTGGACACCAATGCCACCGTAAAGTGGCAATGTTTAGGTCAAGATTACCAGAAGTTGGAACTTTCCCCAAGCTTTACATTGAGTTTTAGCCCCAATACTATGAAAATCCCCTATTGTTTAATGGGACATTTCCATTTTTCACACCTCCTTGTGGATAAAAATACCAACCTATAGAGTGTAAAGTGCTATGGGATGACACAGAGCTTGGCTGGGACCGGCAGTGCGCATTTTACCAAGCAGCTTTGTTGATAGAGAGGACACCTGTCTAATCGATTAAAATACAGCTCCTGGAGATGAAAGGCCAGTGTGCTTACCCAATGTACCATATTTGCCGCTACAGAAACCACAACAGAGCATACATCCAATACAATGCAATCAGTATTGTTTTGTATAACTTTTTATGTTACTGAAACTATATTCCAGTATGATTTAAGATGTCTCTTTAGGAGTGAAGGTTTTGTTGGGTTAACGGGAATAAAACCAGTGTTAAAAATGTTTCTTGCCACCATTTTTTCTACATAAAGTGTTTACATGAGGTGCAACAATGGAATTTAAAAAATAGTTGGATAAAGGATATGAATCAATTTTATCCCACGTTCAATACGTGGGTTCTGTGATTACTACTTTTCACACATACCCATGGAGTTTTGATGTTTCGCTCGAATATAAATCTAGCTTGTGTTGATGCAGTAAAACTCACATAAGTCCTATCTTTATAAATCCTAAATCGTACATGCACCTGAGTCCCATTCAGTTTTCTACCAAAACAAACTTAGATTTCTTGCACTAGTCGTATTTATAAAGCAAATTATTTCCTAACTCGTA